ATCCTTAATGAGATTCTAAAGCCAGTCTCTAAAAACAAGTAGAGGCATACTTGAAGGAGACGGATTATATTATGTGGGTAAGAAAGCCAACATGGCAGTATTTTCTCAGGTATTTGGAGGTGAGGCGCATGATCAGAAGCTGTCAACAGTGGGTAATCAAGAGACCGAATAGAGGACTCGGATTAGAGGATGATCTGAGTTTTCTTGATGTTTAAATGAGAGTTATTAACAAGGATATATTATAAAACTTTTGTTTTTTGAATGTGTAATGAGGCTTAATGCAATGAAATAAGGGATGATATGTAGCCTGATGTTGCAGATGAATGGGTCATAATATACACTATTGCGTTGTCTGTTCCTCGCGTTGCCGATTCAATGACCTCTAGTCAGGAGGGAGGATATGAAAGGAGAAAGAGAGCAGAGATATTGGGTTTACTTCAAGCTTTTTGCCTGTGTTCCATGAGTTTCCAAACGCACGCATACCTAAATTGCCTAAATTTATTTAACACAGCAAAAGGAAGAGATGCACAAAAATGATGACGGAAGAGAATCGCGATTAACCCAAATCTGTGGATGGAAAGAGAAATTAAAAATTTTACCCTTCGCGGGCGGTAAACGAGGTAAATAAAAAAAGCCGAATCTGATGCAGAAAAGAACGCGACTCACCTATATAAAGCGAAAGAAAAAACACATATGCAAGAAGTATAAAACAGTGCATATAATAAATGTTTTATGGCTCACAGGACTATCTTATTGTGGTAGTTGTTATTGTTTCTGGCGTCCTTGCATATATAATATAATGCCCCTTACCTTAGTGTAGTCAGATATTTCCAGCGTGTTACAACACCATGGGTGCCTTCATTCGGTAACCAACTCGTTCCAACCAAATTACGCGCCGCTCTCTCTATACCTATTTTCAACAGCTTGCAACAAAGATTTCTCTCTCATAGGTCGTTCGTATTATAAAATAAATAACTGTTTATCTTCTTTTTCTCTTTAACACAAATTTGTGCTGTGTATATGTAAGTTATAATCAAGTGACTTGATACTGAATTATACACGCTGAATGATACCGATATGCTGTGATTGAAGGTACAGGCGCCGGAAGAAATATTAATCCTATTTAATAATCTAAAACGGAGTAATATTCTGCTATTCATATTTGACTGGATAGACGAAAATCTGTTCATTAAGTATTTAATTGATTGTGGGTGTTGACAAGATATACTGAAAGTTAATTCTGAGTTGAATAAATAATGTAATATTTCATATGTTTGGCGATCGAGAAGTGTGGAGTAAAATGAAAAAACAGGATTGAGTACTTATTATTCAAGTTAATTTTTTTATAACTTGAAGTGCAAAGTTCGTCGGTATATCAAATATATTATATATTAATATTAAAGTATACAAGGATGGATATATTAAGATATGATACATATGCATACCATTATATTATATATGATAGGTATGTATATTTTTTAAAATATTAAATTTTATATATGTAGGTGATGGGTATATAATAAGTATAAATTGGTAGATAAATATGATTAAAATAATAACTACGAGTATTAATAATAGTATAAATTATAACATTATAAGTGATTATATGGTAAATGGATCATACAATATAAGTATAGTAATTGGCAAGTGACCCATGCGAAGCAAATTAGTTCTTATAGCTAGACGCGCCCACGTCTCATATAGCCAAATAGAGGTCGTGAGTTGACGGTGCACCAGATTGTGGATGTTTGTCGGTTATACCCTGTTGCCCATGACTAACAGGGCTAGAGCTTCTAGAGGCAGTGCAAATGTGTTCCGAAGTGGCAGTTCCGGCTACCTCGTGGACGACTTAAGGTTGTTCCGTTCCTGGGTTTGTGAATCCCTCCTCTTTGCCCACTTTAATTTACAAAAGAAATATTATGGATGTTGAAAGCACGGAGCAAGTAATATTTATTGATATATTTTTAAATTATATATATCCATATACGAATTAAAATTATTTGATTGGTACGGTATGAGAGTAAGGGTTGGATATATTAGTAATATTGGTGAAAAAAATTATAATGATTTTCTACAGAAATGTAGTTGATTATTAATATGTAGTGACAAACTAATATTAAAAAAATTTAATAAATCAAAAATATTGGTATTTTTAATCAAATTCTAAAGTGTTAAAGTTAATTTTACTATCGCAACGTCTAAAAAAATTGAAAGAATGTGAGGATACATTAAACGAGAAAACAACCTGGTCGAGCTCTCGGATATTAGAATTCATGTTTAAATATTACTAATAATTGGAATAAGTCCCAAGATTTGTGATTTTTTCTAACTACTATGCTCATGAATAGAAAAATAATCAATAATTTACGATATATGATTATCTTTTTTTTTTTTTATATAATATATGACAGAATTTAATTCTTTCTCTCAATATTTGCACATCTATATTGCTCATTGCAATAAAAATCAGAAATTGTGGTTTAAGAAAATTTGTCAAATAGTTTTTCTGTATGTGCAAGGTTTTAAAGTCTTGACATACGGATTCACTTTTCTATTTTTCTGAACCAACCCAATTAGAAATTGGGAAAGATGAAGGATCTGTGTAATGCTCAATCTCTAGATCCTATAACACGGGGAATTAAGGAGGATTATCCACTCCCCTTCCAACCAATATTGTTTGTCTCCCTAGCTTTGGGCTCGTTGTTACTGGCGTTTCTACTACCATTTTCTTTGGAGTTCGCGATCCCTTCAGAAAACCTTTGCGTTCTGTCTTTTCAAAGATTTTGACTTTTGAAACCTCACCATTTGGGCACACTTAATCTTCCTTCTCATAAAGGCAAATGCAGAATCCAAGAAAACTCATCCATGGCTTTTTACAGGAAGTTAACTCTAAAAAGATCTTCATCCCATTTATAGCGCTCTTTTTGATAACGTCTTTTCTTATCTCACAAGCTTTCCTTTCTTCAATTCTCTTCCTTTTTCTGTTCCTCATTCATCACCAACTCAATCTTTGTTTTCTATAACTTGATGCCCGAACTTCACATTTTTTTCCTTCTCATACCGCACTTTTCCCACGCAAACTCCGATCGGTCCTCTATTGGCTAATTAAGCGGGTTAAACATTGTAGAAACTGTTTCTGTGCCAATGGCCACGCCCCCATTATAGGAACACCGCGAGGCTAGTTAGCTAGGTCAAGTCACTGAATTCTCACCGCGCATTGCCGCTCAAAAATGCAGATACTGACTTATTGAGACAGAATTTCCATTTGGGGGCCCATTTTTGCACAGTAATTCCTTTTGCCTGAACTCATTATTCTTTCTTTCAAATCCCTTCTCTGGGAACCATTCCTTTCTTGAAATTCTGAGTTTAAGTTCAAGAGACAGCCGTAGGATGGTGGGTGGGCTAACTCAACCCATAAATATAAAAGTTTTGCTCACTAGGCTGCCTTACAAGCTTTGTCTTAATTGTCATGATATTTGATGCTGTTATTGTGTTTTGCTGGAACCAAAAACGTATCGTATTAGACAGAATCTCAAAGGTTTCCTGGTCGAGCATTTTTTGCATAACCTCAGCTGTATTTGCCGCTTTAGCTCTGTTTTGCATGAGAGATAAATAGAACTGGAACCAATGCGACTCAAACTGCTTTCCAATTTTTCTTTCTTATAAATACGATTAATCCAAGCTTGTCCAACTTCTCTGGCCGTGTTGAATAAAATTTCCCATTTCAGCATTTAACTCCATCCAAAGAAGCATGTTCTTCTGGGAATATCGAACATGAATTTCTTTTCCAGTAGCTGCTCTGGAGAAAATCTTCATTGAGTTAACATGAATTTTAGAAGCTTCTGGAAAATCTTGGCAAAATGATTTCTTCAGAGTCCTGTGTTGTTTGAGGTAGGTTTAGCCATAAAGAGTAGAAACAAGCCAAAAAAGCCATAACCACCACCTTGCACAAAATATTGATGGAAATTCCAACTCGTGTGCCAATCTCTGCACACCACGAAAGAAACATGTCTGTCATGTAGCACAATCGGAGGCTTGGCCATACGGCTCTATGAACAAGTTTGGCAGAAATTAGTTTCTTGAAAGTAAGGTTTTAGAAGCTAAAGAAGATTCTAAGAAAATAGTTAGATGGACTTGTTAAGGAAGAGATCCGTGTTTTCCAATATGGAGGAAGGCATATCTAAGCTGTTGAAAGGAAATTTCAAAGAAGTGAATGGAAGGAAATTATGAGAAGAAAGATAATTTTTAGCTTCTTTAATTATTAGAGGGGGGTATTACAAAAAGTTATGCATGTAATTTTTCCTTTGTTTCAAGGGTGGAAGAGCTAAAGCTAGGAAAGGAATTATATGGCCTTGAGCCATGAATGGGATTCATTACTTTTCTATCCTTATAAATTTTCTGCCATTTGTTTTCTGAAGAGAAAAAATGGAAAAGTGGTGGCCAGGAAGAGAAACTCAATTTGTATTTACTTTTGAAGCTTTCAACAGACAGTACCCATACTTTATTTATCATTGGTACAATTTTTTTAAAATCAAATGAATTGCCGTAACCTCTTGCACCCGAGCCTAATTAATTTCATACAATGTTAATGCCGTTGTCCTCATTTCCTCGGTACGAAATGAATTACTTGAAATTTCCTTTCAAGGTTGTCAGTTTCTTGAATAGAAAGAAAGATTGGTTTGGATGGATTTAATTAAATTGCAGTCGGATTTTAACACTCAGACATTGAAACTAGAAGGAAAGAATCATCTTTCGAAATCTCAAGGTCACAAAGCAGCCACGATGGCTTACTTTCAAGAAACACAACAAGTCAGCATTTCCCCCCGAACATGGGCCGTAATTGTTAAACAGAAATCATCATATCGATGCAAAAGCCCATTTGCCCATGTTACCATTAAGTAGTTCGGCCTGCTAGTGGCCCCAAAAAATTTTAAAGATGACAAAAATAGGAGGACAAGCGGCTGGGACTCGTTGTGATGAAAGGACAGAGTGAAAGGCAGAATATGACTGGGTTCACATTACGCTGACAGAGATTACTAAACAGTAAGCCAGATAGAGGAGAAGCTTTGTCTATATGTTGAACTAAAGGAAAATTTTGCAAATCCCATCAAAATTGGATAATAGATATGTATGTAAAGATATTAACAAAGGACAATATTTTATTTTTTAGGTACTAAAAGACATTAAGGTAAGAATGATTGGATGATTTATAATCAATTAGAAAACAGAAGAATTATTATCCACTTCATATTACTACAACAATCTTTTGGTGACTTTCAATTACATATTCAACATTTTGAATCTTTCCAAATCTTCACCTAATCCTCAAATACAACACCAAACCCTTTTTTGTTAGGCATTACAACTCACTAGAAACCCAATTTCTCCAATTATTTTTTATTATTAAAAGTAAATTGTATCCTTACAAGAAATTTCACTAAGCTGCAGGCTTATACCTACAAAGAAACCTTGCACCTTAAAAACCCTATCCTTGAACATAAAAACCCCTTTGCATCCACCATTTATCTTTAACCCGGCTGGAATCCGTTGACCTTTGCCATATCATAACATGGTCTTCCATTGTATGTGATCGAAGTTTTCCTATTCTCTTCAATCCTTACAAAAAATTCCCAGTTGTGGATTGAATTGAAAAAGCAAGGTAAATGAAGCAACCATATGCATTTAGCCAGCAACAAAAAATGCTGAAGGAAGTTGTTCAGGGCCATGGCCTTGTCCAATTCATAGTTGTAATGATGCACTCATTTTCTTTGATCACAGAATCTACTAAAATCTTCATCTGTAATATTTAGTCCCTTTTCTTAAAACTTCATTCCAGCTAAAATTCCTCAATCAACAAATTGATTGCAAACTTGCGCTTTTGCGGTCTTGTTGAGGGTCTAGATTGCTTTGGTGAACCTTCTTTTGAGAATACAGAATTCTCAAATTTTGGTAAAGAGATTGGTTCTTATAGCTTCCAGATGATATAATTAACTGCTTAGAGTACTTTGAATTTGAGAGAGAGTTTTATATGGTTGAAGGAGCAAAAATTCAGCGTTGTCCATAGAGTGCCGTCTGTTTTCCTCAATCTGTCCCACAAGTATTTTTGCATAAATTGTTTTAACAGACAATCTTTGCTTCTGATACTATCTGCAAAAACCCTTCCACCATACTTCTTCACTTACCGGCATTAAATTTTCTCGTTGGATTTTCCCTCTTCTTACTTCATCTTGTCAATTACTGGTGAGCCTTTTGTTAGTGTGGCTTGCCTGAGAGCTTTCTAGCTCTCACCCAATAACTTCTCCAAGTACTCGGAGCTTTCTGCCTCAGTTCCCCTAATGAAGATTTCATTCTCAGCAACTTCCATTTAAGCTGCATCTCTATTCTCATTTGCTTCTGTCAATTCTCTTTTCAATGTTTCAATTGATAATATCCCTATGTCCTTGAAAATCTGCGAAACTTCTTCCAGATTCTGTTCGTTAGGTGAATTTCTCATTCTTGTACTTTTTCCTTCAACTTTGGAAACCAACAAGGAAATCATTCCACGATTTTTTGGTTGTTGTGGTAGAACGGATGAGTGAGAACTCTGTCCATGCGAAACAACAATTTAGATGCTTGTGTTCTTGGTGGTCACATTTTCATAATCAGAGGTAACAGTAAGCAGGCTTGGCATCTATTGCAAGAGATTACAGATTTTGAAATCTGCCAGGGCTATTTCTCCTACCAGACTTATAGAATTTCTGTTCCGGGCGATGTTTGAAAAGCACCGGTATATTATTTGCACAGAAGCAGTAACAGATTTTTGATTCTTCAGCAGGGCAAATATGCGGATTCGAAACCAGAAGAAATATCCCTTTTCCTCGATAGATGATGGAATTCTCCTTCTTGTAGTCCGATAAAACTTTTTCATAGCCCATTTTCCTCCTCCTAGTTCATAGTCACCCAACTTCTGATAACTGTTCTTGATTTTGCTAGTATTTGTTCTTGTCGTCATGTTTCATCTCATAACTCTGTGGAGACGAAACAAATAATTACCAAAATTTATAAGCATTGAGTTATTTAAAGTTAGAACTTCAACAGTTCAACTAGCAAGAAGATGCATCAATTAATTTGAAAGGGAATCATTATAATTTTCAAAACAAATTGAAAAAAGGAGTAAAAGAATTTGTGATAAAACCGCGTTTAAAAAAATCAAGATTTAAAAATTGGAAATTGGAGTATATTTGAACGACCAAGAGAGTTATTGATGATAATGAAATGCAAGAGTAATTCTTTTGGATTATTTAACCCAAAATAATATCCCCGTTCACGTGCAAACTTGCCAGAATGTTATTAAGCAAATTCATTAAATAGAAAATCAATTAATTGCACATTAATAAATTTGTGAACACACATGTTCATAATCACAACAAACAACAACAATAGGTGAAATTTAAAATTCTTTTCTTTATTAATTACATCAAAGAAACCTATTTTTTTCAAGTAGAAGCAAAGTATTAAGATGGAGTAAAGACTAAGAAACCATATTGCAAAGAAAGCCCAAAAAAGAATGTAGAATGAACCAAGGAAAATTAACAATTTGAAAGAAAGACGCTTGAAAACTTTACAGGAGTAAAAACAGGGTAATCTTGAGCCAGAGTTAGTGAGAAACAGGGCGTGAAAACAGGGGAGGAAGAAGAGATTTGAGATTGGCGGGCTGTTTCCGTGGTATCAGAGCAGCATGAAGAGCTCTAAAGCTCCACCGCCTTTAGGCAATGGGCGCTTGTTATCTCTTGTCTGCTAACTTCATGGTTATGTTTCATTGTTTATTGTCAAGCGCTTGAAAGCATTTGAGTAGTAGCAGAAGTAGGAGCGGCACTCATGAAAAAAACGAGCAAAATACAGAGCAGAGCATTATTATATCCAAAAAACAAGAACGAGAAAATAATTTTATATTGGTGGGAGGATTTCCCTTACAAGATAGAGAAAGAACAAATTGAATCGAAACTGGGTATCTAATTGGTTGGATTTGGTTTTGCAGACAGGAGATGATATCTTTTATAAATAGAAAAGAGTGAGTGTGTGGGAGTGGGTTAGCTTTTTTCTTTTTTAAAGTTCTTTTTTTCTGTTTTACTTTATTTTTACTTACTCTTGAATAATATTTCTTAAGATATCTTAAAAACTCAATGAGATTTTGTCTTTGTTCAATATGGATGAATAGAATGTGCAGCTTGTGACAGCCAGGGAGAGAGAGGAGATTTAGTAGTTTTTGCTCTTGTAGGCAAGGGCCTGTATTGTTATTTTTGGGTTTGACTAAAAATGCCCATAGTTTCTAAAAGCTAACAAAAATTGCCAACTCAAAATGTGTACAATTATCCACAAGATTTACACAGCTACTGGTCTACCAATCACATACTGTTTACAAAGTTGGTGAATATCTCTCCATATCCAATTAATTCTCAATCATGCATTAATTGGAAAGGTTATAAACAGTTTCAAATTTGATACTTTAAGATTTTTTTTTAAACTTTCTTAGCAAATTGCTCTGTCTGGGATTTAAATTTGTATTTTTCACTTTTACATGAATTGTTGATTGTTTACTCCTCCAAGATTACATGTTATCAATTATATACTATCAACATCTTTACTGGAAGTTCTCCTTCCAAAAAAAAAAAGTAGAAGAAAAATTGCATATTATGAGAGTAAACTTTTGAAGCATTTATTTACAATTTGAAAAAGAAATAAGTTAATGAGCACCACTTAGTTATGTGGAACTTGCAACATTTATATATATAAATGTCCTTGAAATATTGATGTGGTTTGACACAAGAAAAGACACTTTTTTTTTTTTTTTTTTTCTATATGATTCTCGCTATCTAACGAAAGTAGAGGAAAATCATAATTGCCATTTGTTTACATTTTATTCTCACCTGTTCACTTTTCTCACATGATGATCTTGTCAAGAGAATCTTTTAACTTATTGAGATTCATTACTCAATATTGAAGTATAATTTTAAAGTCTTATCTTTAAGCAGTATGATATTATCCTCTCTATATTGCCTTGTATTGATTTGTATCCACGGCACTCCCTCGAATTTTATCTAGTGGTGCAATACCAGGGTATATGTGAGTCCTACGCGAGCCTTCCGCATAGGACTCATTGCTGCACAGTAGCGACCACAAGAATATTAGACGAATTTTTTTTTTTTTTTTTTCCATTGAGTGCTACTAAAGAAAGTTGAGGAAATCATTTGCCATTGGAAAATTTTACCACCTGTCAACTTTTCCACATGAGATTGTTCTTTTCAAAGAAAATTAAATTATTGATTCATACATTGAGTATAGGTAAGTCTTTCTTAGATATATATATTTTATGCCTTTTGTTGATCAGGCAACACTCGAATTTTAACTGGGGAAAAAGGATTTGTAGTCCTCCGCCTTACCGCTAGGCCATGCTGCCAAGGCGACACAATATAGACGAAAATATCACCTCTTCATTTTTTTTTTTTTTTTTTCAATTGTCTTTAATTACATATTAACAGAAAGTAAAAATGAAAAACTTACCGAGTCCCAATTTCCCAATGCAGGTTCTGGCTGAAAGGGAATTCTGATGTGGGGGACAGAAAAAATCCAATACCTTCCAGAGGGTCTTTGTCTCTCTCTTTTATTTAAAACAGTGAATCTTGTGAAGTATAGTGCCGTCGTGGGGACCAAACAGAGCTCTTTCTCCTCATACGAACATTAACGTTTGGAGAAGGAGAACTCCAAGCAAGCATTAAACTTATTTTTAAATTTCTAATTTTCAAATAATATAATTATATTTTTCTTTAATTTGCACAAGTGTTTTATAGTCAATTAGGGTGATATACAGGTAAAATTTACATGAAAATACAAAATATATTAATCCTTGACACTGCATGTAATTCCACTGGATTGCCAGTCACTTTCTCTAAGTGGAGGAATCCCTGGGAGTACACCATGAAGGCAAGGGTATTGTTGGAATCGGAAAACAATAGTTTTATTTATAATAATTAGAATATTTGTATAATTGAAAATGGAATTACATGTAGGATTATGAAAAATTAAAGTATTAAATGAATACAGAGGTCGTTGTTTCCCATAACTACTTCGATTAGAAAAGTAATTATTAATTTATCCAAAATTAAGTTAGAGAGGCAACCACCCCTTCAAAAGTAAGTATGGTTTGTCAAAACCTCCACATGCAAAAAGTGGTCAGCTTGCTTAATCAAATCACCAACACAGTGCTTATTGTTTTATTAATTAATAACTATGTAATGTAAATTATTCTAATTTCAATATATATATCGTTTTCGGTGTCTTAAAGAATAATAAATGATCTTTTTTTTAATTTTATTATTCTTATTTATATTAAATACAAGGATATGAGATATGAATAATAATATGAAATAAAAAATAATTTTATCAAATTACCTTTGATTTTATTATAATTAAAAAGAAATAATTTTTTTTTAATTCTCATGCAAAAACTCTTTATACAGCTAGTAGCCACCGGGCTCTTAACTTCCTTCATATGCTCATCACTGTACATGTATAGCTGAGACATGAAAAGTGAAAAGAAACATTTCTAACCAAACATCAAAATTAGGTCTTACTATCTGATTTGATGATTAAAAGGTCAAAGCAGACATGTAATTATGATTGGAACATTGGAAAGTTAAAATTTTGAAAAGTCTTTTGTTTTGTTGGGAAAGTTAGTATGAGGTTCTAAATTCTAATCTTGAAACCAAAGTGTAAGTTCAAATCTTTAATTAATTAGCTGCTTAGGTTTAGGTGATTTTCTCAAGTTCTGTAGAAATATTGGAGAGTGAAATATCAAATTGATCACTGTTAATTTTGTATATTGAGTCTCCTATAAATAAATAAAAAAATAGTAATTTTTTTTTTTGAAAGGGAAAAAAAAAATAGTAATTTATTAATATTTCAATAAGAGATTTAAATTTAGAGGTTTTCTTTTTTATTTTGTAAGAAAACTCAAAAAAAAAAAAAAAAATAGAAATCAAAGATATCAGTGCCACCAAACCAATTACATAGCATGTGAGAACCACATATATATGGACCCAATACATGCTCTCATGATAGTATAGGAAGTACCCATTTGTCCCATTGCTGAGTAAGATATACATGTGTGTGTATATATATATATGTCTAGGCACATGATGGGTATCACTACCAAAGCTAGAGCATGGCTGTAAAGTTTAAGGTACAAATTATAATTATAAAATGAAAATTCATTTATATATAAAAAATCTGGTGGAAGCACTTGTAATGATCAAAACCACCTCACCCCAGTCTATTTTCTTCTGTATCCCATTATCACTTCCATACTTAAAAGGCTTATAAGCAATCATATCTATAAAATGATGTTTAGGGTTACTTACAAATAAGCCAAATCTATAGTTAATTAGCAATTAATTAACATTTCAAAAAGAAATCTATAATTAAATAAATCTGCATGATTGAAGCTTTATTATATAATGTGAAGATAATGGTAAGTAATTAATAGAGTGTGCTTCATTATTTCTATCTAAGCTTTCATTTTCAGTTACAGCCTTGTCTGAAAGAAACAAGAGAGATAGGGATTGCAATGTCTCTTTCTTTGGACTGACAAAGAATACAAACAGCAACTAATAGAGGAAAAGATACAATAGAAGCCATGAAGAAGCAAGCATGCCTATATCTTTTTCATTATGAGGTGACCACAAAATGTACATTCTCCATCAATTTTGGTTACTTTATTCTTTTTGCCAGTTTTATTATGCAAGTGAAAATTTTACATTTGAAGAGAAAGTAGAAAGCTAAGCCATTCTTTCTGGCTCTTCCTCAGTATCGTGTTTTGGCTTTTTGTCCTCTTTTCTTTGTTCCATTTGGTTAGAAGTTTGATTCCAATTTCCTATAAGTTTAATTAATCATTATTACTATAAATCACCATATTAATTTATTATTACATATTAATACTTTACCATATTCATATATATGTATATGTAGCTATGTAGGCTTCTTTTTATCCTTGGTAATTGTCTTACTGAATATGCTCTCTTAATCCCTATCTCTTGCACAAATGCCAAGTCATTTGTTGGCTGCCCTCTATATATTTTTCATGGTATAAACTACTGGTATCCGAACTCTATTATCAGGAACCGCCTGATCTAGTTCAGGACTTAATCACAGTTAAAACTCTTCACTTCTTTTTGTAAGTGTGTTTAGTGGAGATAGTTCTTCTCACATGCTCGATATGTGTTGCCAAATGAGCCAAAACCTGAAAGTGTTGCCTCTATATTTTAATTGACATTCTTTATATTATCACGAGAGTGCAACCCGCAAATTGATTAACATAAAATATGCCTCTAAATGCAGTCTATTTTAGCTTATTCTGTTGATAATAATTTTACTACGTCACTTACTAACGAATATTTAAATTTGCTTAAATAGACAATAATTTAGTACAACGCTAAAACAAGAAAAATGTATAATAAAATTCAGCAGTAAGGTGGTGGTAGTTGGGAATCTAATTTGTTGTGAAAAATGAAATACAGTTTCAGACAAAAAAAAAAGAAAACATATGTATAAAATTAGGTTAGAAGCCATATGTTTTTAGCCCTGCAACATCTCCAATTTCCAGAACACAGTCACCAACATATGTGCTCATAGTTTGTCTTGTTTCATAAAATAATATATTCCTTGAAAATTGCTAATATTGAGGAATGAGGATCATAACAATACTCCAATCTCTTGGATGTTTCTTAAACTCCATATTCTCTTCTCTGGTGTATGTAATAGTTATATATTTTTTTAAATTTAAGTTAAAATGAAGAAATTTGGCTATTTTTTGAATGTTAAATACGATTAGAGAGGTTATTTTTTATGTGCATTGGTGATTGATTGAACCTAATAAATAAATAAATAAATAATATATAAGCAAAACATAAGTTGGCATGCTGGGGAATGGGGAAGAGAAAAACATGTAGCTATAAGTTTGTGTCGTGGGTACCTCTCATTAATTATTTTGATACTGACTTTATAACATTTTCTTCTGCTATTGCTGATTGTTGTAATCTATTTTTATTTTTGTTTTTTATGAATGAAATAATTGAGTTAGTATTTATGAATTTCTTGTCAATGTCGTTCAAACTGGGATACAAGGGGGAAAAAATAAAAAATAAAAAAGCTTATCCTCATATGGTAGGATTCATGACCCGTGAATTAAGCACTTCCTCTCCTAAAGAATATCTAAACTATAAAAATTTATTTTTTAAATAATTTAATGCAATTTATTTTAAATGATCATTAAAATTGATGTAATTATAAAATTAATTCTGTGATATTTAAATGAATAAATTTAAAAGGTTAATTTTTATTTCGAAAATTTTATTTTATTTCCAATTACATCGAGAAAAAGAATATCTTCACTTTCATTTCACATCGTCTATCCAGGTCGGGACAGGTGAAATTACCAACCCCATTTCTTAGATGCCCCCAGGCCCCAAGTGTAAGCCCAATGCATGGACTTTCCCTTCTTCTTTTCTGCTATTGCTGATTGTTGTAATCTATTTTTATTTTTGTTTTTTATGAATGAAATAATTGAGTTAGTATTTATGAATTTCTTGTCAATGTCGTTCAAACTGGGATACAAGGGGGAAAAAATAAAAAATAAAAAAGCTTATCCTCATATGGTAGGATTCATGACCCGTGAATTAAGCACTTCCTCTCCTAAAGAATATCTAAACTATAAAAATTTATTTTTTAAATAATTTAATGCAATTTATTTTAAATGATCATTAAAATTGATGTAATTATAAAATTAATTCTGTGATATTTAAATGAATAAATTTAAAAGGTTAATTTTTATTTCGAAAATTTTATTTTATTTCCAATTACATCGAGAAAAAGAATATCTTCACTTTCATTTCACATCGTCTATCCAGGTCGGGACAGGTGAAATTACCAACCCCATTTCTTAGATGCCCCCAGGCCCCAAGTGTAAGCCCAATGCATGGACTTTCCCTTCTTCTTTTTTAATCTCAGAAAATTATCCAAGAGAAATGGATCAAGACAGGTCCCTATGGCCCATACAAGATCAAAATGGGCCTGAGAAAGGGTCAAGTTGAACGGCTCACGCAGTTTGCAAATTTTGAAAGCCTGTCAGCCAAAAAGGTTAAATATTGCCGCCTTTTATGTTTATATTATATTAAAAAGACGGCGAGAGGATCTCAAGTCTCAATCCTGTCTCCTTTCTAATGAAACTTCAACCGTCGATTACTGTTACATCCACGGTCCAGACACCCCATCTGAGAACTTTTCAAATTCCCGCTTACTAAACAAAAAATCCTATTGGTCGATTCAAAGAGCACGCGGATAGCCATCCTAACCGTCCATAATATTACCGATCAACGCTCCAAAAAGCCATTCACTCGCACAAAAGTTCCGAAACTAACCGCTATAAATGATATCCGGAACACTAAATCTCATCGCCATCGCTCACAGAATCAGTTTGATATTGCATATTTTCTCAAGAAACAAATACTCACTTTTCGATCAACTGCTATGGCTCGCACCAAGCAAACAGCGAGGAAATCAACCGGAGGAAAGGCGCCACGCAAGCAGCTGGCAACTAAGGCAGCCAGGAAGTCAGCTCCGGCAACTGGGGGAGTGAAGAAACCTCACCGTTTCAGACCTGGGACGGTCGCATTGAGAGAAATCAGGAAGTATCAGAAGAGTACTGAGCTCTTGATCCGTAAGCTTCCTTTCCAGAGGTTGGTTAGAGAAATTGCTCAGGATTTCAAAACGGATCTAAGGTTCCAAAGCAGCGCAGTTGCGGCTCTTCAAGAGGCTGCAGAAGCATACCTTGTCGGTCTCTTTGAGGACACAAATCTCTGCGCTATTCATGCTAAGAGGGTCACCATTATGCCTAAAGACATCCAGCTTGCAAGGAGGATTAGGGGTGAAAGGGCATAGAACAGTCCATCTCACTAGAATACTGTATTGCCTTGGTTACATTTATGGTTCTATTTGATGATTGGTTAGGTTATAAATATTCAGATTTCGTGGTTGTAAATTGTTTTCAAATCTAATACCTAATTGGGTTTGATGTTCTGGCTCCTTGATGTATTTGTCCAAATTGTTAAATGAAATAGCAATTGAAAGCTAATAGCATGTTATTTTAGGTAAACTAAAAACCATATACAATTGGCAAGGCACTAAAATTCATCTGTTCATTCAACATTACAGCACAAGAGATGGCGTCTTTGAAATGAGAAGATACATGCGTTAAAGGGTGTGCTGCTCTGCAGCTTATAATGAGCATTTTATGCGTTTCTTCTGCATCCGGTGTCTGACAGAATCAGAATGGCGTAACATAAATGATCGGCAGTTGAATTTTGATCTTTGTGCGACTCCTCACGTTCTGATTTAGCTTCTTAGCGACTGCTTTTGTTGGGACACAACCAGTAAAGACGAATGCTGAAATCAATCATTATTCAAAAACTCAGCATCCATATTTTGAAGTACAATGGGAAGATAATGATACATTGAAAAAGGCTGAGATTAATAGTTATGATGTCAATGATTGTGCAAGTTGCAGGTCAAGCAATGAAACATTAATATGAGATAAGTGCTTACGGGTTATGCTTAAATTGTCAAGCAACCAAATAAAGGTGCTATTTTTCATCACTTGTGAACCTCAAGTCATCGAAAATCGCAAACTAACAAAATCTATAATGCAGATGTAAAGACACAACTACAGAAAGATCTCAGAAAGGTACATAATTAGATCATCCAAAACCACAAACCTTAGTTCCAGCAATGATGGCTCCATTCATGGGATGTGCAGCGCATGCAGTAACAGCTTCAGATAATGGAACAAACTTATTTTGTTTATTTTTGTTGTTTGTTCCAGAATGCTTCTCTACATCCTCACTGAAATAACAACAGTTACAACTAATCAGTAAATGATCTGAAAATGAAATCCAAATAAACAAAATGAGCACAGACAAGAAAGCTTTTCTTTCTTTTTTAGGGAGGGGGAGTTGGTAGGATAATAAAAAACTGACATGAATCTTCTTTTTAGGGTAGACATAGAATAGATACCACTTTATGAAGCACCTTTAAGGCGACTGTACAAAGAGATAATAACTTTCCAAGAAAAATGATAAGGTCACACGTATTGAAGGAATTGATTTGATGGAATCTTTGGAAACACAATAAATGTATTTTACATATTTATGAATAACTGATTAGAAAGGATGACAATTCTTGTCTGACCAGCAAAGGAAAAATCAGGTCATTAACCAAAATTCAGCCATTGATGGACCAGATTTACATGAATAGATATTTTACCTGTTGTCTACATGGCAGGGAGAACTAGGGTCAGGATAGAAATCTAAAAGATGGATGCCGTTGGCAGATGATGATCCAACCACATACACCTGCATTGGAATACATCACATTCCACCCAAATTACACGAGAACCAAACATAGTCAAGCCCCAGTTGGCTTCAAACCAAATTTAAGTGGGTGAATAAAAGAGATTGGGTACAGGATTCATACCGAATATGTTGGCAGCCATGATGGTTTTCTCAAGTATAAAAGATCAGCTGAAATGTTGGAATCATTCCTGCTCAATCCAAAGCATCAAAGTAATTTAACAATTAGGGAATACAATTTGGTTACCAATTACAATATATTGCAACATAGGATGAACAAAATTTACTTACAACCAAGCTGGAGGAGGGCAATGAACATGTGTAACTTTAAAATTATAAATATCCAAGACACCCGACCTGCATTACTTGAAGATCTGAAAGTTCAGAATAAGATTATAATAATTCAACCATATTGTTTGCATACAAGCTTATTCATTTGAACGAGAGCAGTAACTCTTTGATGCATCAAAAGTATTGAAATTTGCTTCTAAAATTTCTTCTCTCAAGTCTTACTAGAACCCGTCATAAGAATCTGTTCTATTTAGTGCTCATTCTGTTGACAAAGCACATCTTCCAGTTGACATGGTCAAGACTCTGATTATTAGTTGAGCTCATAGTTATCATGCATTCAGCCTTTTCTTCCTATATGGCTACGTTCAATTAATTGGCTTTCAACTTCATTCCCATTCAAACAGAATAAGAAATAAAACAACCTAGCAAATATGAGATAGAAAATGCCACGACAGCAAGCTTTGACCATGATTTCTGATATTTGCCAAGTCACTATAATATGTGGCTTTCAAAAAAATAAAACAAAATAAATCCTCCACATTCCCACCCTCCCACCTACCACGCCCCCAAAAACTAAAAAAGGAAGAAGTAAACTAAAAAGAATAGTTAAGGAAATAAGTAAAATATTAAGCTTTTATCCAGTAATGAAATATAGTCTAGATAAATAGATAATACTGCAAATATTAGCAATGAAAGTCAGCAAGATTAGATAGGTGACTGCCACAATAATTTGACACCTAGAAACATGACAAAAACAGTAAATGTGTTCATTTCCTGACCTACCAACCATCATCAAGATGAAATGCCAACTGATATGGGCAAGATGGATCAAAATCAATGGAGTGCACTTCCTTGGGGGTAATAGCTGATTGAGCCTGTGTCATTAAGAGGATTAACTAAGGCAAGATTGACCTTTGAGCAGTGATAATATTAAAATGGCAACAAAAAATATTTTACTTACCTTCAACATCGCAATTTTCTCTAACATTGATGCTAGCTTCCAACATGTCACTGGTGGATGGCACACCTGTTTATGCAAAATTCAGAGTATTGCAGATAAAAGGAAAACGTTGATGCACTTGTTCTATCAATTACCACAAATAATTTATATATATATCATATATGTTCTACTGAATGGGCAAATATTGATATAGAAAGTTGTTAGTGCTGCTTGCTTCAATAGAAACTACTGTGATAAACATTTGTTTGTGCCTAAGTGTGGCTAGCCAGTAAAACTTAAAATCATGATAACATCGTAGTTAGTTTTGAGTATTGACTACTACTGTTTGAAAGCTGCTTCCTGTCCACTTGCAAGTCCAGTTCTTGTACCATGCCATAAATAACAAGAATTCAAAAAAGTACCTCTTTATGACTTTGGAAGGCAGTGGATGCTCTTCCACCACGAAGATCCCATGCATAAACAATTCCATGCCTGCCAGCCCCAAAAACCATCTGCGTCAAAATAACTCATTTTTATTTAAGCTCCTTCAGAACGTAGATCAACAAAATTTACAAATAATGAGAATTATTTTCACTTTTAGAGAATCTACCATATAAGAGAATAAACATTTTCCAACTTATGCTTATAAAATAAAACAAATTCAATGGAACAAATATTAAAACTAAATTGTGGATCGTAGATAATATTAAACCTCCCAAATTCCCAAATTTAGTTGCTGCTCTAAGACAAATGGCATTTCCACAAATATTGCTATGAGAATATATAGAGCTACATAAATATTCACCTCTTGCAAAGCTTATAACTTCACAATAAATCAGTAACTGTTCTCCACGAGTAATTACCTGATTTTCCGCGTTCATTTGAATGCTGTTGATCGTGCTGCGGGAATTAGTTGTAAGCTCAAGACATGGAAGAACACCCATTCTTCTATCCCATATATTAACTACACCATGTGTGTCAGAAGCAATTAACCTATCATCACAGAGGGAAAATGAGCTAAAAGAAGACTGATACAAACCTAAAAGACAAGAGATGTTAAGGATGGGATAAACAAGGTCAAAGAACAAGACTAGTACAATAATATTTGGAGTATTCATATTAAGCATTCATCCTACCATAGACATCATATTGTATGACCTTAATTATAAATTGATATATATTACTTGCTTGCCAGTAATCAGCATCCCAGCACTCAAGTTTGGGAAAAGAATGGGAAATTATCACACCAAAAGCTATTGTTTCACCAACCTTGATTTGTCAATTATTGTAAAAGCTATATCAGTTGGACCTTTATGAACTTCAGACCCATGAACCGTGACAGTACACTTAGTTCTTAAAACCTGCATCCACAACAAACAAAATTCATTTCTTGGACATTCAAAACTATTTATCACCAGAACTTCAGCAAACAATATCAAAGCAAAGAAAAAGGTGAATAGTAAAGTAATTCAGTGCGGGGCCCATCATACGCAAATTCTGTTCTTTCTTTTATGATAACTGTGATTCTCAAATAACACAAATGTCTCAGGCCCAACCAATTACCAATCCTACAACCAAGTTTCCTAAGTGGCATTTTCAAATATTTGCAGAAGAGGGATCCACTTATGCCCTTTAAAATTGAAAGTAGTGGAACTGTAGATCCATTGAAACAAATTTTGGTACAAAAGAATTTCAAATTTCTGTTAGATAAAATGTAGAATGAAATCTACTTACTTCAACTGGTTCAGATGAGATATAACCAATGTCATAAATGAGTACTTCATTTCTTTTCATAGATGAGCAGGCAACCTAGAAATTGGAACATCAAGTGTTGGGAAGGTTAGATTTCTAGTACAATATTAAGCAATATACTTTCATCTATGATTGCTAAAATGAATAACACCAATCGGACAAGTAAATGCTTCCAAACCTCATCTTGGTGAGCAAGATTCCAACGGACAACATCAAGTTGCCGATGCAAAGAAAGGTGCATTACATGTTTGCTTTCATCTTCTTTTGAGCCTACTAGGAAAAGGAAGCAGAAACGTTGCAGCCACTGAAAAAATTATACTATGTACAAAAACAACTAAGAGAGATAACTGTCTTGAGTAAGAAGAGCTGGTGGCCTGTGATAGATATATTTAATCATCATATTTGTTATAATGGCCAGAACCACAAGATCCCATGGTGACTATTATACATGGACCAGACAATTGAAAATTTCCTTGCAGACTGAAAGGGAAACTTACTTGGCAATGAGCCATTAGTATGGCTATAAAGAGTTTCAAAGTCATGAACTGTTAAGCACCCCGATTTTGTCACAGACACTAAGTAAACTCCCTGGACATGTATCTACAAATGTTAAAAATAGGGAAGAAGGATAACAGAAATGAAAGGTTAAAAAAAGAATGGCAATTATGAAAGCAACAATTTGGACTTATTTGTACTTTCATCTTATCACACTAACTGATATCGGTTCTTAGGAGGACAGAATACACAACAATCTTTGAGTGTGCACACACTTGTGACAGAAGAGAGACGAGTACCTTGCTCGGACAAGCCCAAAAATCGATCGAGGAAACATAATCCGATATCATAATATTTTTCAACTTCCAACCAAATACTCATATTTTATTAAATTTCTAGCTATTTGTTTTTATTTTATCTTGTTCTTCTCTTTCTCCCCAATATAGACAGTCTGGAAAAATTTTTCAAATTACAAAATATGTGCAAACCAATTTAAAAGGTTTCAGGCATGACCCCATTGACTACCAATCCACAATAATGAAACAGAGACCCCATCTTCATATTTCATCCAACAACCACAAGATGAGAAAGTAACAGGAAGGTAAAAAAGCGTGGAATGCATAAAGAACAAGGTTCTCAAACCAAATCCACAAAAACAAGCAGGCCCAACATGTCCATACTGATGAAAATTAATATGGAGAGAGGCTTGATATAGAGGGGAAAATAATATGTTTGAGAATCCAATATTTTAACTAGCAAATAGTGACAAAAGCATTCACCTTAGTGTCAAATTCCATGGCAGAGATACCTTGCCTGCGAAGATCATAATAAGATATCTCTTTAATATTAACTAAGGTTGAATAAATGGAACTTCATAAAAACTATCACTGGAATAGCAATTGACAAACTGAATGAAGCATTAGAATTAAGTTCCAATAATCAAGAGATAGTAGAAACATCACATTTTTCAAGAAAATGCAACACATGAGAAAGATTTGAGCAGCAGAGACACACACACACACCCAGCAAAAGGTTATTCAAATGGCTAGTATAGAAAAGCAAAAGATACATAATAAACGACAAGGCTTATATTCATAAGAATTGTCAACAGGAAAATGATCAAGGTGGAGAGGAAGCGTGGACCTTGTAATTGGAACTGGGGAATCCGCATTAGCAACACTATCGATCCAATGCATCTGTGCAACATTATGTTAAATAATCACGTGACATCAAACAAACTAATAAGGCTTCAATATTAATAAAAGACATAAGAACAAAAGTCAGCCAACAAAAGCAAACAGCAAATCACATTGAATTGTAATATTGCATACATGAGTTTGACAAGGAACTCCGTCTACGTGATAAAAATGTGGAAATGCCCCAACCTATTCGTATCAAGCAAAAAAAATATATCAAAACGAAAAAAAAAAAAAAAAAAAAAAAAAAAAAAAAAAAAGTTTCAGCTCGGAAGAGAATCAGCAATGTAATTACTGAAAAAGCAAGACGGAAAATTTAACGAAAATGGAGGGACCTCGGAGTAGGATTGCATAAGTAAGGCAGCAAGATGGTGGCGGTACTTAGGCTCAAACCTCCCTTTCAATTCAATTAGGCTCCTCTTCCATCCATGGCTTTTCAATTCCGAGAGACAAAAAAATTAGGAACGCATCTTGAATTACAAATTGAGGTCTAAGAAACAAAGAAATTTGAGTTCGGTTTACCTCAGAACAGGTTTAGGGGATTCAGGGGAGGGTTTAAGGGGAATCAGGTATTTCTTCATCTTCGCCAAAAAAATCTTCGTGCAATACAATCACTAGGAATTATTGAGGACATAGGCCAAAAAGAAAACCCACTGCTATCTTTTTTTCTTTATCCGATTTCCCGCCATTGGCTGTGATGCTAATTTGCGCGGGTTGCTGACGCCTACGTGGGGGCCTGGCAATAAATTCCCATTTAATTTCTGAGTCAAATTTTCAAGGTTACTTATTGAGAAAATGTAAAATCCACGATTTTTATTAAAATTTATATCACGTTAAATAAAAAAAATAAAAATAGCTCAAAATCAATTTTTTATTGTTTGATATTATTGTCTACAGATTTCTTAAATCTTACATTTTTATTTAAATATACAACTCATGATAATATTATGCAATTTGAAATTAAAGAGATGGACAAATTTGAGATGTATAATTGTTAATGAATTCGCTCAAATCCTAACATTTTACCGGAGTTGAAGGACCCGGCGACAGAACCAAAGGTAATCGGTAGGGGATTGAAATTTGATGCTTTGCGTAACTTAGACATCCTGTCTAAACGACTTGGTGATAAAACCACAGTGATAATTTAAACGCCATGCCCTTTACAATCATTTCAATCTACAACTTTCTGAACTGAAGCAAACACAGAAATATGCAATCCCGCAAATATAATGCATCGAAAAATAGTTCAACAAAAGAAACGAAAAGAAATTAGCCCTAGATAAAAGATTTGGAGGGAAAATTATAAATTTGCGTGAGCAAAATTCAAAATTTAAATTGAATCTCTGTAAATTTACATAAGCAACTACAAGCAACCAGTACCAAAAATACAAAGAAATTAGCACTAGATAAAGATTTAGAGGGAAAATTAGAAATAGAGGTAATACTAATAGACCAAAGAAAGAAAATTTATGCCCTTTCACCCCTAATCCTGCGAGCTAATTGAATATCCTTAGGCATAATGGTAACTCTCTTGGCATGAATAGCACAGAGATTGGTATCCTCGAAAAGCCCCACCAAGTATGCCTCGGCAGCTTCTTGAAGCGCAGCAACAGCACTGCTTTGGAACCTAAGATCGGTTTTAAAATCCTGAGCGATTTCTCTCACCAGCCTCTGAAACGGAAGCTTTCGAATCAAAAGCTCAGTACTCTTTTGATACTTCCTGATCTCTCTCAGTGCCACTGTCCCTGGCCTGAAACGGTGAGGTTTCTTTACTCCTCCCGTCGCCGGAGCAGATTTCCGAGCAGCTTTTGTAGCCAGCTGCTTCCGCGGAGCCTTCCCTCCTGTTGATTTCCTTGCTGTTTGCTTGGTGCGAGCCATCGACGAATAAGAAATTGAAACGCAGTGTGTTTGTTTTACAAGAAAATGGATGATTTTGAGAGGGAAACTTGATGAGGAACAAGATTTTGATGGCTATTTATGGTAGAATACTAGAGGGAAACAAACGGGCAACTGCGGTGCTTTTCTCCGTAGTTTTGTTTGCGTTAACTTTAGCCGTTGGATTTCGAACTTATCCACGGTGAGAAATCATTATGAAAAGTTCACGCGGATCGCAATCCTTGTGCGAAGAGGAATAGCCAATGGGATTTATCTCTTAAGCGGGAATTTGAAATTTTCCTTTTCGTTTGGAGGCGAAAGTTATCTAGCGTTCCAATTTCGATCTGCTATGAAATCTAACAACGGTGTCGTTTTGCTTTTCAATAGGAGCACGTTTAACAAAATACGAAATAATAGTAGGAGAACAAAACAACATTCTAAAATTAACAAACTTAGATTCAAAATTATTGAATTAACAAAATTGAAATTGCCAACCCATTCAAGTATTTATAACAGGTAATAGGCACAAGTAGACATTCGTTTGGCATATACACAAACCCCACGTAAGAAGGGTATGAATAATTCTAGGATCTTATTCCTAATTTTCTGATTTAAGCTATCTGAATGAATCAACTATAAACTTCCGTGGTAACCTATACAAAGATCAACTGACAAGGAGAAAAATTGAAAGAATAGTCAAACCCAGTTGTTCGGAAGTGAAAAATCATGGAATCTGAAGGAGGCTTCTCCGGCTGTGTCTCGCTCAAGTCTAATCTCTGGCTGATCCCTAATCACTTCTTCCTCATTTGGAACTTCAGGTGGCAGAGGCATTATTTGATTCTCGTTGGGAGGGTGTGCCAATTGAATTTCAGGTGGAAATGACATGACAGGAGGGGAGACAGACCTAAGCCTAGCATTGGCTGTACTAATTGAAGCCAATGATCGGTCCCATAAGAAGACATGAATGAGGATAGGCACCTTGGCATGCCGATGCAGCGACAGTTTTTGGCTGAGGGAAACCGTGTCGAAGCATCTTACTGCTCCTGTTGAAGATACCATCCAAGGAAGGACCCTCTGGTTTGATACTCTTGAGACAACTAGCAGTCTTGATTTATTTGTTGCCTCTCTGTATAGATTGTTGAGACCTGACCTTGTTGAGGGTGTATTTTCATTACCTTCAATGACTGATGAAATATAGATAAACCCCTGCAGGAACATAAGAAAATTAATTAAGCAATTGTGTTCATTAAAGGAGTTATATAAACCTGTAAAGAAAAACAGAGAAAAAAAAGCCCAGACTATATAAGATACCTCTTCTGTGCGACTAATGGCAAACCCTAGCTTTGAATCATCCTCTTTTATTTTCATCTCTATTGCAAACTCTCCACACAGAGGTGCATACCAAAGACGGACTGCTCTAACAACGCCAATGTCAACTCCATGGTAATCCTCGAAGCCATACAAGCTTGCATGTGCTAGATTAGACAAATCAGATAATGACCCGGCATTCACCGTAGAAGAGGCTGTCTCTCCAGATATCTGTGCCAAAATAGAAACCACATAAACATTTCTATAGTTTAAAAAGAAAACAAAAAAAAGGAACTTGAGGATTTGTAAGTTTGCGTGCAAATGTAATAACACAAATACAAGTTTAAACAATTACATTAAAGCAGAGTACCCAACTCGGAAGTAGCTTTTTTTCCTCTTTTTTTTTTTTTTTAAACCCATGAAAGTCAGAAATGTATAACCATGTTTATTTCCGCTTCATTGGTGAGATGAACAAAGGATCACGAAGTTCTCCTGTCTCACACGTACCCTATGCTTTAAGCACATAAAGTAATCTAATTTAACTGAGGCAGAGATTGTTACCTTTGTAAGCAGAGACTCCGTCTGAATATTCATGAAAACAATCGGGACCCCAGAAGCCTGAGACGCATACAGCCAGGTATTTGCCCTGGCAAGAGTGTCATCCAAGTCATTATACCGAGAAGCAACTCGATCAGAGACTTTAGGAAGGAGAAGTATAGAAAGAAAGCAGCTTGAATTAGTAACAGGCAGAACCTCCTGCATCCTCCTCGTCCATGGATACGAGACATATCCATCTTGAAGCGTAGCACTGGATAATGCAGTGACTATTCTGGAGCTTCTTGAAGCTGCAAAATTCAATCAATTTTATTGTTTTGCAAGATTAAGTAAAAAAATCGCAACGGACAAGAAAAGTGTCAACTGGATTAAGTTCCAAATGAAGTTACAAGGCAAATTCCAAAATTTAAAATTTACAGTGTGAAAGATAAAGAAGAATCAAAATTTGAAGCACCAAAAGGAGTGTGAACAAAATAGTTCAACTACCACAAAATGCAATTTATAATGCCAAGATTACCAAAGTCAATTAATCTAAAAGTAAGACATGATAATCACGCAATTAGCTGCTGACAATGAAGAAACAAGGATGTGCATTTAGATTGAAAAAGACATTTAACAATACACCAGGGCCGAATACCAACTCATCCAACATGCCTGGTGCTAGTGGGCCAAGAGGAAATTCCAATTGTGATTTTCCAGCTTTGAAATTGAAAATTTCTTTTTTTTTTTAAGATTCTCTTTTTTATCATTTTCCAGACCCTATTTTTTTTTTTTTTTTTTTTTTTTCCCTGAGAAAAATTGGATCATCTGTCGATAGGTGCCTGTCATCCTATTCAATACTTCATTTGGAGGCTCTTTTATCCGGTTTTTTTAACATAAAATTCAACAAAAAATTTAACATAAAAACATAACACGTGTCCAGAATTCAGCGGATGAGAATCCAACAACTAGCATAGAATCCCAAGTCAAAGTCAAAAAAAAGAAAAAAAAAAAGTTCCGAAATCACAGAAATCGTAAAAACAAAAGCAAAAGAAAATGAAAATTCACCTTGCAACTCGAAGCAATCCGCCTCGGACCGATCAGAGAATCCAACAGTATAATTCGGATCCGCAATAGACCTCAAAATGTATTGCCTTTTAGACCCCGATTCAGGAACGATACAAGCTTGCAACTCAGCGAACTCGTCTCGGCCTCGCCTGATTCGGACGAGAATCGAAGTCTCTTTATTCTTAAACGAGCCATGAAGAATCTTCTGGACCCCACTCTTTCCATTTTTAAACGGAGCTTTAAACGACTGAGACGATCTTGATCCTGAAGAAGAAGCGGAGCCGATCCTGATTTCTTCAACTATGTCGCCGGTTTGGAGCATGTCTCCGGTCCATTCATCGGCTTTGGAACTACCTTTAAGACAGTCGATAGAAAGGACTATAACAGATTTTGGGTCTCTATTTGGGGTTTCGGGGGGTGAAGTTCGGTCCATGGTCATTTTGGTCTAGTTTTCATAAGCTCATGGTTGTTGATTCTCGTTAATCTTAAGCTTATCGGGTATCAGAAAGATTGTTCTGACGGAGAGTTTAAGGTATGAGAAAGCAAGGAGAAGACAGAGAAGATACATAAAAGTCAAAATAAAAAACTTGAGATGGGTTTTGGAATTTTGTTGATTTTTTTGGAGGTAACTATAGACATATTTATATGAAGTATTTAGATCGGGACCTTGTACATCACATAATAAGAAAATTCTAATTTGGCATGCAAACGGGAGGGAAAAAGATGCTATACACAACCATCTTTGTAACCTTTATGTGGGGGTTTAATCTTTTTTTTATTAGCAGTAACTAGTAATTCACCATCTGCTTATAGAAAGATTACCATTACCGAGGTGGTACAAATAAATTAAAAAAAAAAAAGGTAAATTATTATAAAATTCCTGAGATTTTATTGAAATTACTACTTTATCTAAATAAATTTTAAAATTTAATTTCACTATAGTATTCTTTTGGCTCAAGGACATTTAAATGAATAAAAAAAAATTATTTGATCTGTATTAGGAGAGTTTAATTTTATTTGGAACTTCCCACCTTTCTCTCCAATAAGAGAATGATAAAAGTCATAATACATGGAAGTTTCTATGGAAAACGGTTGACTAAATGGAGGATTGAGATCCCACACGCTACTGACCAAAGAATTAAGAACAGGCCCAGCTACTAGGAGACACATGACTGTGGGGTTTCTCGAGTGAAAGCACGCGCGTCATTTCTGCGTGGCTTTAGATATGACGTGGGAGGAGAAAATCAATGACAGGATTATGACGTGCGCACACATACAACCTAATAAAACCTGCGAGTCCATGGTCCTAGATGTACGCAACGCTACGTAATCCAAGTTATTACTCATTTGTAATAATAATAATAAAATTATTTTACATCGATCCAAACAATGAGTGTAAAATAAAAAGGTAAAATAAATAATATCATTTTACATCATTATTTTACTTCCTCCAAACAATGTGTAAAACATAAAAAGTTCTATACAAGGGAGCAATCCTTGGATCCAAACCAAAAAAATAAAATCATTTTAATCATAATTATATAATTATTTTAGAAATTTAATTATCAATTAATTTGAATACATAAAATTATTTGATTTTTTATTTTAGTTCGGTTACCGTAATTGACCAATTAATACTAAAACTGAAGTTTCGTAAAACGCGGCTAGGCTAACAACGAATATTCATTCAATAATATAAAGCGCAACTCCTTTTACTAATATCATTACCTGTTTTGACTGAGACCACACGCAGGAAAATATATGACTTGATTCCATTTGAAAATCAGGAAGACTGAGCAAAGATACTTTGAAAATTTATGAAACTATATTTTTTACTAAATCATTATTTTTGTATATTACAATTAATACTAACTAAAAGAAAAGGAAATTTTGGAAAATAAAAAAGAATAAAATTCGATAATTTCATTTGAAGCCCAAGTTTGAATCAAGTGTGAAAAAAAAATTACTGAAAATGAAAGAACTTTAACTCATGTCAATTAAAAAATATATGTATAATACCTTTTGGTGCAGTGCAGATACCAACCAACTTGGCCTATTCCAATAATTTGAAAATTGAAAATAAGAAGAAAGAAAAGGCTGCTGAAAGTGGGAGAGTCAACTGAAGTTAGGTCTGAAAGAGTTTGTTCATATTGTTCCAGTGAAAGAGAAGCTGAGAGGCTGAATCAACTCAAGGGTTCACTTATCTATAACCATAGCAATGTCAAGTGTGTATGCTCCTTCATGTGATCTCATTTCTCACTGTAGTAATATTTTCAATCATGAAATTGATACCACAATTCAAAGATCAATGGTGGGTGGTGATTATGTTTAATCATTTCCATATCTAATACCAGATTGTGTACTAACTACTATACCTTAGGTCTGATCAATTCAGAAAAAGCCAACCACCGCCAATTCAAAGAAACAGAAATCACAAATAAACTATGATCACCGAGTCTATGAGAATCTAATGAAAACTATAGTAATGTAGTTCAGCAATTACATTAATTTAACTACACAAATATGATATAACAGGGAGGTGAATATTCAACCTAGATGAAATTGCCTTTACCTCAGTTTGCGAAAGGCAATAGTTGTTCATCCCCAAAATGCCAGATTTACGTATATATAATCTCTACATACATGTGTACCACATAAACCTACAAAAACAAGCAGCAATAATAACATAAGAAGGAGAACAGCTATGCTTTGGAATTTAGATCAATATTAATCAGTCAGCATATACAGAAACCAAATCAATCAACAAGCAGAAATTATCTCATTTGCCCTGAAGCATAGGGATGTGATGGCGATTTATGTGGATTGACTGTTGGATGCAGATTTACAATGAGAAATTCAATGGTCAGTCACCCAAGGAAGACAGGTTCCAAGCTTAGCTAGCAAGTCAAATTTTCAAACCATCATAAAGTTTTGACCTGAAGCCCTTTTCAAAAATTCCTGATGCAATTTGAATCTCAGTAAAATTCAATAATAGTTAGCTCTGAAGATGACCTTTTACTAGACTTGCAACTGGGTCATGGGATTTAAAAGGAAATTTTGTTCTAATGATGTAATTTAATATTACACTTCCAGAACTGTGGATTACTTACTACATCCATCTCTTCTTTGGAGCTGCATCACTACATGCAGTTTGGCTTCGCCTTCTAATCTTCTTAAATTCTCCATTAGCTGACAACTGTTTTAGCCTCAAAGAAGAAAGTGATCTGAACTTCTGATTTGTAGATATTTCTTTGAGAGGAGTAGCTGATCTCGATTCCATGTGTTGTTCAGTTAATTTTGCCAAAGAACTTGATGCTGTTGCAGATGTTGATTTCCCCTTTGTTGCTGGGGCAGAGTCACTACTTTGAAGAGGTGTCTCCTGAATTTGTAAGACATGAGCTTCTTGTTTGTCAAATAAGAGTTAATATGATTCAGAAAAGAGAGGAATATTGTTACAAACCTGAACAGGGGTAAACTGATTTTTAGTATCGGTTGTTTTTGGTCTGTTTACAGGAGATGAATCGGAATCAGAAGATGAAGGGCTGGTACTACTGTCCATATCATAAACTATGTTTTCCATCATAAGAGGAAAATGCCAACTGTGTGAGATAGGTGGAGAGGAAGATGGTCTCCGAATTCTCGTAAAGTGAACCAACTGTAATAGATTTCAGGAATCATGAGTTCAAGCAATTGTGAACAGAAACCTCAGAGATACTATTTGCAGCCAATTATAACACATGTAAATCAGATGCATACACATTCATGAATTATTATGAATGACATATGTGCCATCACTTTTAATAGTATTCAATTCAAACATAAAATTTCAAACCACTTGCTTCTGTTTCTAAGAAGAAAAGCATTTGCACACTTCATGACTCATTTCCTGTGAGAAAAGCCAGTTATGATTTGTATGACATGCATTACGACAATAAATCACATTTGAAGTATGCCACTCTTTGCTAAGAAGAAATTTCACCGACTTACCTTTTGTTCCAATACCATTATGTCCTTCTTAAGTTTTGTAATGATAGTGTTCTTCCTGCGTATAATATCCTCCAGCTCTGCAGTTCTCTATTATCAACGAAAACGTATTCACAAATATCAGATTGAAAATTTTGGTAGTATAAATTGCAAAGGGAAAGTAACTGTAATGGCAATACCTTTGAACCTGCCATATTAGTTGACTGAAGAATACTACTAAGCTCCTTTATGGTGGCATCCTTCTCTTCATTCTCTCTCTTGAGATTGGAGATATCTAGGTCTACTGAAGATGAGTTCATCTGCAAATAGACACACCACATGAGTACAAAAAAAACTTCAAACTTTATACAAAAGTGAACATTGTTGTATATTTTCAGCAGTTCCTATTCATTGCTCAAAAATCCAAAATGAGCATTTAGCAATCAAGTCATAAAATCAGTTTCCAGTATACTGTGCTAATGGATGAGATAGAATAAACCATGAAGCTGTAAGAATGCACAACAACGAAAAGTGATCATAATCTATTAAGCAAGCAATTCTAAGAACATACAAGAGATATTAACACGTTAATTTTTCTGGCAACACATTCATCTATTATAACAGGTTCAAGAAGACGCATATATTTAAATGCAGGATGTCCCAAGGTCTTGTTCTCCAATTTAAGGTCACAAGCAATTTTTCACACATCTGGTGCAATGCTTAGACACCTCGAGTTGGAGAACATGGCTCAGAAGAGACTAATAGCTTTATCTCAAAATCTACTGTGGCATCCTCAACTTATGTAGTATGCAATTCACTGGACGTCTATATCGAACTGATATATGCTAATTCAAGTCCTCTAAAGCAAGTTCAGTTTTGATTGTTACCTCATGATGTGTAAATTATGTAACAAACAAAAAAACTATAAAAGGTAAATGTGTGCAGCTGCACTTTTTGTCACCTGGATATCTGCCGAGGAAGTAACACTTGAAGCCCAATCTGACAAATCTGACATGCGGCGCTCTTCTTGGTCTGCTCCATTGACTAAAGGCACTTTATACTCGAACACCTCATCCCCTTGAGATAGTTTCTCAACAGAGTTGTCCTGATGCAATATAATAAAAGGGGGAAAGAAATTTTAGCACTTGATAAGCATATTATATCATGAGACGAACTCTAAGCTTATCAATGCTAAAACTCAAAAAGATGACCCCAACTTAAAATTCACATAGTATGAACCTCACCATTAAACCAGCAAAGAGGTTTTGGTGATGATCACAATGCCAACAACCGCAGTCAACAAATTTAATTCTAGCACAACCAAAAACATTACTAGATAATGATTCTACATTCTCGTTTAATAATGTATTAGCCTCAGCCCTTGAATGGTTCTTAATGCTATTCAGCTGCTCGCATAGATCATCTAGCTTCTGCTGCATTCCCGATAGCACCTGATCCTGAAAACAGAATGCAAAGGAGAGTTATATGAAAGCATCTATATAAGTTCTGAATGTTTTACATTTTGCTCCCTCTCAAACAAAAGACTATAAGTAGAATAAGACAAGAGGGCATGTGAAGTTAAGAAAAATATTAGACATTAAATTCTAGGTGATATAATTCTTGTAACTGATGAGAAAATTCAGTCATAAAATTAGCATTAAAGAAAGTCTAATTCAACTTCCGTTGATGAAGATTAGACAATTTATTTACGTTGTCCATTACGCAAAATCATGCAGCAAGTCTATATTCAGTCATATAATAGCAGAGATATTAATTCAGCTAAGAACTTATAAGCAGAATCATCAAAATCATAATATAAGGGAAGAAAGATACGGAGATTAAAACAAGAAAAACCCGTCATAACAAAACTATTATGAACTAACGTATCATAAATAATGCAGCGTTAAAAGGGGAAATGTCCAACAGAACATCAAATCAATTCTGAACCCAAAACAATTGAATCAAAGGCAAACTATCAAACCAGAACTGAAAATTGAAATACACCCAAAACCATTTTATCAAATCAAAGTATAATCACTGACCCTAAGCTCGACAGATTTTGAAAGCCGCAAAATGATCCTATTCTTTTTAGACTCCGCAACAGCGACGCCTATCACGGCTACGATGAGGAACCTTTGAACGGGGCTAAACAGTTCCCAAGCTATAGTTTGCTCTCGGCTGAGGCCACCCCCAATGGCTTCAGCTGAACTAGCTTCCTCCGCATTAACAAGCCGTCCCTGGAGAGACAGCCAAGCTAGCTTTCGAGCAGATGGGACTGGACGGCTAGGAGTGAAGTGACTGGAAAGCCGGCGAGAAGATGGGGAGGGGACGGAAGAGAATGGGGAAAGAGAAACTACAGAGGGAGGGGGAGCGAAGTCAGCCGAGCAGGAGGCAAAGCAGAGCTGATCCTCCGCTTCTTCCATGGAGAGAAGAGAGGAGGATGAAAGCGTGATTGCTGGGATTCCTGTATTCAATTTTCTTTCTTTCTTTGGAACGCTAACTCATCCATTGGAAATTGGGACGAAAAATAAATTTCATGTTTTGAACAGTAGTAATTGATTGGTTTTATGCAAATTCAAATTTCTGAACTGAGAGGGAAACCTAAATACATGGACGTTACTCACAGTTTGATGTTTTTCCCATTTTGGCTCCTTTTTTGTCCTTTACTAGATGTTTTACTCTCGTTTTTTTCAGAGGATCTTATGTTTGAATTTGAATGTCTTGATACTGTGTTTGAATTGGGCGGAGAGCATGGAAGGGAAATTATAGGAAAATAATTAAAATTGTAATTTTATTCCTATTTATTATACATTTTTGGAAAAAAAAAAAAACCCTTGTTTATTATATTTTTTTGAAATAGAAAAGCAGGTATTGATAAATCATTTTTCTTCGATTTTTTCTATTATATTCTTACATTTTTAGGAAATGTAGTCAATACAATCATAATTTTCTTTCTATTTTTTTTTAATATCCTTGCATTTTTTTTTTTCATAATCTATAAAGACTGATATATTATTTATTTATTTTAACCTTTGATTTATGGTAATGACAATATAATTATTGAAGTATATTTATTTAAAAAACCACGTCAGATCGGGGATAAAATAAAAAGCTGTAAAAATTAGCTTTTTAAAAAAAATAAAATTATAATTTGAAATAAGTGAAAAAATAAACTAAACAAGCATATTATTAATATTAATTACTATTACTGTGAGTGGGTAGTTATATATAACATTTTGATCATTAAAACTCCCTCCATTTTATAAATATTTGTTATTTCAATATACGAGAAATCATAATGATTTTTATCCGATTTATAGCATAGCATAAGGTGAAAATGGTCTTTATCAAAAATTGTGGACATTATTATTTTTGAAATGTTCTGGAAATATTTTTTATTTCAAGGAAAATATAGTAAAGTTTTAATCTTAAATAAACTTTTTAGGGAAACAACAGCTTTATAAATTATTTTTAGTAGAACATCCTCAAAAAAAAAAAAAAAAAAAAAAAAAAAAAAAAAAAAAAAAAAAAAAAAAAAAAATTTTAGTAGAACATCCTCAAAAAAAAACAAAAAAAAAAAAAAAAAAAAAAAAAAAAAAAAAAAAAAAAAGAAAAGTTCATTTTATGGCTCTTACAAATAGATATCGATGATTTTACATTGGCCCAATTAAGGATTCTATGAAAAAAAAAAAAAAAAAAAAAAAAAAAAAAAAAAAAAAAAAAGAAAAGTTCATTATGGCTCTTACAAATAGATATCCGATGATTTTACATTGGCCCAATTAAGGTCTATGTTTGGGTGAATTGGGCTTAACACTGAAGAAGACTCGTTCAAAATAAAACTTGGGTTTCACAATCCTTAATTGGGCTCGCAAAGAAATTCAATAACAGTTGGGGGAACGTTTCAACAGCAAACTGCTTTATCTTTATCAATGCAATCATTTTTCCTCTTTCCTCTTTTATGGAAAATACTTGTTTATTTTTATTTTATCATTTTTTTTGGTGTATTAAAAAAATATTCATTTTAACAAAATTTTATATTTTTATTGGTTTCGTCCACAAATAGAGTTATAAATCCGGTTTAAATAAGTTAATCTTTTTTTTTTTAATGTTAAATCATTTAACATTAAACACTCGTTGACCTCACCTTATTCATCTCGATTTACACTGAATAAATTTATAGAGGACAAAAATCATTTTTCTATTAAATATTTAAAAGAACTTCGTATTTAAAAGTTCAAATTCGAGACTAATTAAGAAAAAATAAATCAATATCATCCCAAGTCATCTGTCGGATTACTTGTTTATGGACAAAGCTTGAGCTGAGAGACGTTGCCCTCACCTCACGTTAACGATATTAATCAAGTAAAGAAAAGAAAGGAAAATTAAAAATTTCCTTCTGAGTGCAATAAAGGGCAGGGCATTAAGGGATGGTGAGGTCAGCAATGACATGTCACTCACTTTCTTCGTGGACTTGGGCCCCGACTCGGATAGTGACTCGTCCATCGCATCCAGCTGTAACCACTGCACCACTCACCACCCAGCACCTATCAACTAACCTTGACCCTGCCTGTTCATCGTATAAAGTCCATGTCGCTAAATTACTAAACTAACACTGTACCTATTTTTTTTTGATCCTTGCCTTTTCAAGCTTTAGGAATTAGTGCTTGGATATTGGAATAACAAAAATCTCACCTAGAATAACTCCTTTTTGGGCACTCCATAAAAATTGACATTCACAAGGGAATGAATATATGTATATAAGAACGAGCTGTAATCCTCGGATGTCAGAAAAATATATTTTGCGAAATTAAATTTATGTTTTCACTTTTATAGAATTAAAATCATTTATCACTCTAATTAATATTTTGTTAATATATAATTTTTTTTAATTAAGAAACAAGATGATTCTGATCACCTAGTGTGAAAGTCTATAACTAATCATATAAAATTAATCTGGTTTTAAATTTTCAAGAGATTTATTTATAACTGATCGGATGGATATTTAAAAATAATGAATTCATATAGTGGAAGTAAAGATTCGCAGTCGTTGTTTATTTGTTTAAGTAATCACTGTTAAAAGGACGGAGACAGAAATGAAAATGTTTCATGGAGACTATGATGAAGAGAGAGAACTAGCTCCCTATCCATCCATTGCCATTCCAAGCATTGAAATCAGTAAAACCAACCATTTCTTTTTAAGGGAAATAAAAAATGGGGAAGAAGTCACCTCCTTTCCATTAATTCTGTGACAATGACCCAGGATCGAAGACAAAGGAAAACCAAAAAAAAGAAATTATGTGGAGCTCATTTGATCACGTAAAATCATAAAAACCCTTCGATAATATTAAATGAGAGTTAATCTGCAAGGCTTCACCAAAAGTCCTCCATCAACTAATGTCGAAGAAGGAAAGTATGTCCCACATTCATCCACGTATTGGTATTGCCAAATCAAAAGGGACAGCCATTGAAAGTACCTTTCTGCTTTCTTTACTTGAAGATGGAAAGAAACACTAAGTTTAAAGTGCATAACTCAGATAAAGTGAGAGCAAAAAGAAGGAAAGAAACGCGTAAAAACATGCAATTATTCTCTGTTTTCTTAAACACATAAACTTATCTTAATTTGGCTAAGCTTCCAGAAGTAGAAACACATGTTACAACATACACTCAAACAAAGTACTGTACAGCTATTTCATTTCTATTTTCTAAATAAGTTTGAATTTAGATCTTAAAGTTAGCTTTTAGTAGCTACCCACATTACTATCTTCTTCTCTTTCAGTGCAAAAGAAACCATAACCCTAGTTCCCTCTTTATGATTACACCTCCTCTGCAATTCCTTATTAATTAATATTAATCAGTTCTATACATATGATGACCGAGTTATATCGTTATACTCTGCCATTTTTTGGCTACTGTTGATGCTTGCTTGTGCAGGTACACTTGTCCCGGTTCTCTGATAGTGTCTGAAACAACCCAAAAAAACGCAAGAAGACTTGTTTTTAGAGTCTTTGATGAGTTAGTTTTGATCCAATATTAATTACTTATAGCACATATATATCACCTTCACTTGTCTTTGGAGGTCTTTAATGTAGTCGACAGCCAAATCTAGCATGTCCGCTGTGTTTGTTTGCTGAAAATAGGTAAACAAAGTAAGGATATTTCGTCTACACATAACCTATCAGATGTACCTAGAACTAGAGAAAATTCTACCTTATCCATGTTAGGTACAAGATCCTGAAGTTTCCTCATTCTTTCGCTAATTCGAGTTCTTCTCACCTAAAGATTGCAAATCTTGAAGATAAATAATTCATTACTGCATCAAGAAATGATCAATGCAGTAAAATGAAAAGAACAAAAAGAAAACAACTTTAATTTACCCTTTCAGCAATGCTCCTTGGATGAGTAGCACATCCTCGCTTTGCTCGAATCTTGCAAGGCACTGAATCTTGCAACTGCAGATACTTTTCTATAGCAGAAAATTCAGCTGAGGTTTTTGGCAAACTCAAGTGATGTGCCAACAATGGCGGGCGAGTTACTGCTTCTGCATTCTATTCAATAACAAAATCTTACTAGTCTTTAGAATAAAATGAAATAACATTATTGATTCTGAGTACCTGAGTTTCAGATGTGTTTAGGCCAGAGGGTGTCCTATCATCATCTGTTAGTCTTTTTGCACCAGAAGACATAACAGACGCATCATCCCAGGATGCAATAGAGAAGCTTGCTGCGGCATAATTGTCAGAGCTATTTTCTTTGTTCCCAATTTCAGCAATTAGACTCATTCGCCCTGAAGGAGGAGCAGCTGGAGGCCTACTTGCTGCAGAATAAGATGTTTCTCTATTAGCTGTTCCATAATCTGCCATGCCTCTCAGTACAGCATATCCTGCCAATTGCTAATACTTAGTTATATATTATTCGAACATACAGCAATATAATCAAACTATTTTGGTCCATTTTTGTACTAAAATAATTTTTTAAGCTCAACTTGCTAATTCGAATGATTAGTAATCAGAAAAGCACAAAGAATTAACTAAAATATATTAACTATCAATTTGTAGCACGAGTTGTTAAGGAAACAAAAATCTGTCTTGGCTCATTTTTTCTTTGTTTTCCTCTTGTTTTCTTCCTTTCTCTTTCACTTTTCAAATGAAACTATTCCTTGGTTGGATAAATGTCGTATTAGTTATTGGAAAATCATACTGAAAGAAAATCTCAGCTGTCTCAGTCTTTCCTAAGAACAAAAAAAACAACTCAACCCATAAGAAAACTTGAACTAATTTCCAAAGAAAAAGAACGTACCATTTTCCATTTCAATATTTATGTCGGAGAAAAGCCCTGCAGGCGAGCTACTGTGTCGAACAAGATTCGAATTATTGCCACTACTAGAACTCTTCATCTGTGGCAACCGCTCCATTCCCATTGGTGTCACCATCCTATAATCCATAGCAGAACCAGAATTGTGATCTGGTAATGGTGGTTTTGATTGGCTCTGGTAAAAACTCTGCGAAGCAGAGTAATTGCTGCTCTGTCGCTGTAACCTTGTATCATTAATCTGCGGTTGCTGGTTAACTTGTGGCACTTCTTCTTTAACTGGAGAATCTGGCTTAAGTGCTGAAAAATTTTGACTTGGTACGTTTTCAGTGTTGCCACCAGTACTGGCCAAAAGTCTGGCGAAAATTCGTTCTGTTTCAGGGCTTGATGGCCTATTGAGGAATTCGTCGCAGAAGTCCCTGTCTAAGAAACCGGAGAAATAAGAGCTTGGCGCAGATTGGTATCTCGTCAACCCAGAATTCATTTGCTTCTGGTGATGTTGCTGTTGTTGATGATAATCTTGAATGAAAGGATGGTGGTGTTGAAACTCGGATTCCATTTTCTTCTCTATTTCTTTCTTGATTAAGACTTCGAAAATGAAAAAGTAAATTGAGCTTTTCTTTCGATCAGATCAGGAACAAATCTAAAGAAATCTATAAAAAAGCACCAATAGTGAAGCGGTGTCATCGATTTGATTCAATTCAAGTGAAACAGATGAAAAAGAACAAAACAGAGACCATAGACCACAATCTTGTTATATAAAAGAATAAAAACTATCAACTCTGGTAGAACCCACTTAGCTATTCTTGAATTTGAAACCACTGAACACAAGAAGATAATATGAAAAAAATAAAGAAACCACTGGTAAAAGAACAAGATCAGAACAAGCACATAAAAGGGACAAAACCAATCTCTCTAAAGCTTCACCTCTGAAAGATGCTTCAAAGGATGGTGTTGATGATGCCAGTGAGTAAAGCAAGAAAAGAAATGGAAATTCCTAAAAAATGGGGGGAAAAAAGAAAATAAATTAAATATATAAAAACCTCTTCTACATTTCGGGCAACGAAAAGCAACAGAGGCCAGAAATTGGAGCTGCACTGCAAAATTGATATATCTATCCACCAAATTCGTTGACCTTAATGCCCTTGATACCGTTAGTTTATTCCAAGAGTGGCACAGATTTGTATTAAAAAAGGGCTGTATTATAAAATGCATGTGAGGTAACATATGTCTGGCTTGTCGTTTTCACTTATTATTACATCAGGAAGGAAAACAAAAACTAATCTTAATTTTGGAAGGATTTTGATAAATGGGGCACCCCCTTGTTTTAAAATGACCACACTGTCCCCCTGGGGTCTACTTGACCCACAAACAGACAATTTTTACTTTTTGTGCCCTTGATTAATAGATGGTGTGATTTCTTTTTCTTGGGAACCCACCCTCACTGCCCTTTTATGTTGCTTATATTTGTTAGGTACAATTGCAGAAACAGAGGAATTTTATCCCTTGTTTTTTTTTTTAAAAAAAAAATGTTTTTGGGGTGCAATGTTTATGTAAACAATTGACAAGGGATAAGAGAAATTTTCTTTTATGGGCAATCAGATTATTAAATTTATTAAAAATGCTAAAAGGGAAACTTATCACGCTCGAGCGATTACACTCAAGTCAATAGATTTAATAGACTTATTATATACGCTCAAATTATAGTTCGGATTGACAAGAAAAAATAAGATAAAAGATCAATTAATTTTTTTAAAAGTAACCGTAAATTTTGTATTAAAAGATAAAAGTAATCTCAAAAAAGGTATTTATGTATTGAAAAATAATCGTAAAATTTTTTAATTAAATTAATAATAATTGAAATATAATTTAAATCGATTATCTCTATTCATTCTCTAAAATTTAATCAATTAATTTAAAATCAAATTGATTATTTTTTTTAATTGCTGCGTAAAGTGAAGCACTATCAAATTTAATGCAATGAATGGATTAAATAAGATCATGAATTTTCTTATATACTTGGGTGCATTGAAAGCAATAGAAATTTAATTGATATGAAAGAAAAAAATAATAATTCTAACAATATTAAGTAATAAAAATAGTAACGTGAAGTACAATATAATAGATTTAAATATGAATATATCTCTATATGATTTCTTAGAATTTTAGATCGCACGCGTGCACATATATGCGAGATATATGTGGTTAAAATCAACTACGATATAAAGGTCACATGAATTTTTTTCTTTTTTGTTCCTTTTTTTAGAAAAAAAAGAATATAAAACTTTATTAAGATTTGATAATATTACATTTCTACCCAAATCATAATTTAAGTTAAGCCTTTTAGCATAACATAATTTAAACTAGAAAAGTTTATAGTGGCTGCGTCAGGACACTGTGGCAAAAGTGTCATAATGGACATTTGAAAATTGTCGCATAATTCAACATGTCCCTTCTTCTGGATCCTTTTCCTTTTTTTTTTTAAAAAAAATATATATATATATATATCTTTTTCCGGTTTGCCCTTTTCTTTATTTGCGCTTTGAAAATTTCTTTTTAAACGACATTACGGAAAAGACTTTTGACTCCTTCACTTTTCCATTTATTTTTCATTGTTCTAGAAGCAAAAAAAAAAAATTTGCTTATGAATATTTAATTACATATTTAAAAATAAGTAATTAAGGGTGTTTGTTTCCATTTTATCAAAACAACACTCACTTTCTTCTAATTATTGTAGGGTAAGTGTCCATCATTTGAGTACAACCTTATTTATTAAAAATAAATAAATTATTTTAGTAAAAAGTTTATAATACCTTTTTCATGTAATAATTTCTCTTACAAAAACAATGCCTCCATAGATTTATTTTATATTTATTATTATTTTTAGTTATTTTTTAAACAAATAAGATCTATTAATCTGCTTTGACAGAGGCTTGTGCATTTTTCACTGTGTACCTAATAAAAAATTACTTTTTCTCGTAAGTATAAATAAATAAATATATTCTGCATGTGAAGTTTGATTTCATTATTAATTTTTTCTGAAAATGAGATTTTTTTTATTATTATTATATTTGGATAAATTTAGAAAGCTAGGAATTTGAATAGTTTTATATAATAATTAATATTATGTATTTCGATAGCGGTGATTTTCATTTTTTTTTCTTAAAATGGGTTTCAAAGTACACGTGTAGGGTCACCGATTCAACTACTTAAAAAAGTGGTAATGAATTGGTGATTATTTTATTTAGTTTTTGCCCTATTAAAACCAGTAAACGTGATTGCAACTTAAGCAGATTAATTATAAGGACCGTGATGCAATTATTTATTTATTTATTAAATGATTTATTTATTTAGAGTAAAGTAAAGTTTGTACGTTCAAATTTTAAATTATTTAAAGGTAAGTTGGACCCGTTTCATTTAAAGGGTTTTCTACTCATCTGTTAATTATGTTGTGCCACTCCACTACATGTGACAAAAACTGGGGCCCATCAAAAGCGGCAGTAAGTGCGCATTGATGTGAACGATGTCGTTTTCTTAGTCGTTCTGTGGCTTTATCATTGGCTCCTCTCCATCATTATCGGGATCGGGGATCCATTACATAAATTATTAAGGAAAAGATTTGTTTTTTTTTTTTTTTTTTACTTAAATGGGAATATTAATAAATATATTAGAATATTTTTTACTTTTCTAATAACAAACAGAGAACATCTGAAATCATTTCGATGACTTCTCTTTATTTGTAGGTGTCTCATTCATCTTCTTCCACTCCCTCGTACATAATTGCATTTTTAATTATTACAAAACGAAGTTAAAATCCATTTTCATTTAGAATTATGTAATAGTTGAATTTTACGTGAACATGATGAGAGATTAGAAAGTACAGTCTGATTGATTTTCTCATAAATTTCAATCGTGTCTACAGTATTATTTTGATCATTAAATTTTTATTAAAAAAATCCAATGTTTGAAAATTTGAATGTATAACTTTATTCACATAAACATATGTATTTTTATTTTTATCAATCAAATTGCTTGAAAATTAAAAATAATCTTTAGAGATGACGATCACATTGGTTCTATTGAATACTTGTTCAAACTTAATTAAAAATAAAGAATAAGTAAATATACGTCGAGTGTAGATAAGTGTTTTGCGTGTTAACACGAGACGGATAGGATAGAGTAGGATCCATCAAAGGCTCGGAACTGTGAGGAGAGAGAGTCCAACAAATACTCCACTGGGTGGATGACGTGGAAGGCACATATTGTATATATCAAATTTGGGTAGTTGTTCTAAAACTGGGGGCCTGTATTGTACAAGGACAGATTCTCTCCAAAAATGCAAAACCAAACAAGTTCAGAACAATTACCTCTTCAGTTGTCAAATCTTTTAAATCAGAAACTTTCACATAGCTTTCATTTTGCGAATTCATGACTTGCACCTTCTTTTCCTCCTCTTTTAGTTAATTAAACATTCTTTTGGCGGCTAATTTTGTCATTTAATGTTGATGCTCACCGCCAAAGTCACGTTCTGAGGCCCCAGTGACTCACATTATAGACCAAGAAATTAAACGACTTTGACATACAAACTTATCATTTATGATTTTGTTAAGGTAATGAAATGATTATTAACTTATCAATCAAGACTTTTGCATATATCCCTGAAGCCAAGTTAGACCCAAGAAAGAAAAAAAGAAAAGATAAATAATGTGTTGGTTTAAAGGAGAGTATTTTTAATTATATACTAGAAAAAAAGACAAAATAGTAATATTTTTTTTTAAAAAAAAAAACTTTCTTTGTTTAGCTTGTGTATGGAACTAAATTTATTTTGAATTAGGAAATCCTGTGCTCCTTTATCGATAAAATTAGGATTAAAACATGTAAATTGGGAAATTTCAAATTTAATCCAAAAGAAAGCATTTGAGCCCATGGGCCTCCACAAAAGGGAACGCAAATGGCATAACAACAAAGAAAATCTCCAGCACAGGGCCTATTTATAATAATAATGGGTTTGGGCTCGAAAAGTGACAAAGATGGGCTATGTTCTAGTGTTTTCTTATTAAAGAACAGGACACGGTCTTCGACTTCGCAAGTTGACCTTCGAGTAGAAAAGGCTCAACCCGATGACTCGAGTTTTATAATGCAACAAACATTGGCCGAAGACCAGCTAATACATCTGTCGTAAGAAAATACTTGCTTCAACTGAATTTCCGGTCTCGTATGAATTAAATTAATAAAAATATATTTTTTAAAAATTTTATTATTTATTTCCGTAAGTGTATGATTAGAAATATTATTGTTTATAAAAATTTTATTTTCATTGATTTAGTTGATGGGTGGAGCTACAGACCTGATCTAAATAAGTAAATCCCTTCTATATGGCATATCACATTTGAAGGTGTTTTAAATATTGTATTAAAAAAAGGTAGGTTTTCAATAATTTCCTCCACAAAATCCTCAATCATAGCAAAAAGCAATAGGTCTCTCCTAGTTGAATGCCATGTTTGAAGCAAATGCACATGTGCATAATCCCCGGTATCTGGCTCAAAAATTCTTGGTCAGCCCAGAATTCCTGTTGTTGACTCCCCTGGATACCACCTGCTTTTAGACAACCAGGATTTTAATGGCTCATATAAAATCATGTAATATTTAAACAGCCATATAAACTATAATCAGTGGCCATTGGTATTATATGCACTGATCTGAAGGCTTAATTGCATGGCGGTAGCTGTACATATGATTTGGACAATGGACAAAGACTCAATCTCAAATCTCCAATTTCCGCCAAACCTAAATGTTGGATCTAATATTCCAGGAATAGCATTAAAGCAGTTGGTGGGTGCAGAATTCTAGTAATGGTGGTGGTATTTTCAGGATCCGTGAGCTGTCTCCAGTAGGCGATGATGTGATTGCCATAATTCTTCTTGTCATATATGGTGAAAATAGTAAAATCAACTACCATGTCTCTAGAGCTTTCATGAATAGCATAAATCAATGTCCGGTTTTGTAATTAATTAATTAATTAATTACTAAATTCGAAGAGGTAATTTGATGACAAAGAACATCGATCGAAAGAATCTGAGTGATTCATGAGATTATACATCGGAGCCTCTTTCACTATAAAATCCTGATAGGCCAGCTCCCGTTCCTCTTAGAGCGATGGTGGAACTTGAAAATTAAAGATTGAGCATTGGAAAGTTCAAATCTCACCTTACTGGCTTCCTCCTTGTCTTATCAAATGTCTGTTTAGCATCACTAATAATTCGATTTTTTTTTTTCCTTTGATGGACCCTCTTGCACATGTGCCACGTGCATGCATGTTTTTGTTCCAATCTTGTAAACTAGAAAAGTCGAATGAGACAATTGTAGTGTGAGAATTCAATCAATTTCTAAAATCTCTGAAGTTTGAAATTGTTGAATGCCTAAAGATTCTATTTTAGAATAAAATAAAATGAGTATGACTTTCTTTTCTTCAGGAAGACTAATTAACCAGACCTACAATAGACTTAATAATTAATAAGGGTATTTCCACTCCTTATTTTGTGGTTAGATGAGAGATTAATTTCTTCCATATCAAAAGTAATTATGTTTAAAATTTTTCTCAAGATACTAACTCCATTACTTAATCTTGTTATCACCAGTATAGAGTCTAATGTATTTAACCATTATAGACTAAACTGCCTTGGATTAGACAGTTGATATATATATATATATCGAATATTATAAATCTGATATTTGATTTTTTAATGATGATGAAATTTTCAGGCATCATTGGATCCATTATTGATTTACAATAGTAGATATAAGATTAATTAATTAATTTATCTTTTGAAAGAGAGTAGATATAAGATGTTATGTAGGAAGTAGGACAGAAGCAACTCATTTTATTATTGACATTGTTTAATTGTTACAGTACTAGCCTGGGATGATCTTGTGGATAAGGTTTTTGTAAATCTTGTCTTCCATTATTTCAGAAACCTAAGCAAAACAGATCACTTCACTTGTCGGCTTCTTTATTTACCACATGCCATCGGTTTTGTTCTTACTTCTTACTATAATTATTACTATTTTAAACCTTCAAATTATCAGCCAATCAGGCAGAAACTTATGGATATCAAAATAAAGCTTTAACTTTTAATCTTGATATGCATATATATACTTGAAATCTTGATGACATGGACACTAATGACTGCTTGTCGTCTGCTAATTTACTTTCAAAACCCTAAAGACTCACAAATACATGAATCGTGATCTTCATCTTCTGGTGGACCATTTCCAGCAGTGTATAAATAGAGCATATGGATATGAATAATGCAGAGAGTACTTTGTTTTGGCAATCTTTTGGACTAATGGGTAAAAAATTATTTGCATTGCATTAATTAAAATAGACTATTTCCTCATGGACCAGATTGATGACTCCACTTTCGGGGACAAAGATTCAGTTTCTAGTGGGGCAATCATTCTTCTACAATGACATTTTCTGAATCCAGATTAAAATGCTTTAATTTGTCCTAACTTCTCTAATTATTTGAGTTCTTACAACTTAAAAAAACTGTTAATGATCATTAATTAGTCGTCATCAATACATCCAATCTATCTTAGATTAGGGTTTCCAATGCGAAGTAGAGTTACCCTCCATGTTAAGAACATTCTTTTACCATATTAATGGAAATGGAAATAAACCCTACATTCTATTTCTCTCTAGATTCATAAAAGAACAAAACATGGTCCTGAAAAAGCCACGTACAGTGCGCAAAATCACCCATGCTCTCACCTTTCAACTTCAGATCGAGCTTATCTCTTCCTCTTTTGTTGATATATATATGTTCATACTCAATTATTAGATTCAGCTCCCCCTTCCAATTTCCACCGTGTATGTGTTTTTTAGGCAACCCAAATTTAAAAGCAGTGGAGACTCACCATTAATCTTTGAGCAAGTTGTTAAACTATCAATTCTACAATTAGATTTCACGTTCAGAGACTATCATTTTGATGTTCAGAAATTCTTTTGTTTGGTACGTGGTCAATTACAAAATCTATATCCATAATGGCTCTTTAATCCACATTCGCGACAGCTTGTATAAATTTCTTCAACGTCAATTACCGCAAGGTTTAGTGTATTCTTCATCCATTTCATAAAATTCCTAGCATATGGTAATTAGGTAACTTTTAACTAATAAAGAGAACATGATTTTCTTACTGATAATTCATTGTTTTTTTTTTTTTTTTAACATCCATGTTCATAAAACATTCCTAAGCATATGGTAATTAGGTATACTTTTAACTAATACAAAGAGAACATTGATCTTTCTTACTGAATAATTCACTGTTTTTTTTTTTTTTTTTAACTAACAACGAGAGCCGCTAACCACCTCGTAAATAATCTTTTTTTTTTTTTTTTTTTTAACTAACAACGAGAGCCGCTACCTCGTAATAATCCACTTAAGGGGCAAAACCGTCATGACAAACAATCTCACTGCATATAAATACCACGACGACGTTGTCAGGTCCTGCCTGCCATACTTCGTTTCATTTCTCAACTTAAACCAGAAAGAAACTCAGAGATTCACTGTCAATAGTATTATATTACTCACTTCAATTATACAGGGAGAAACCTATACACTAATAAAGAGATACAGAGAGTTAGTAACAGAGAAGCCATGGCCGCTTTCTTATACATTACATTGATAACGATATTAATCTCTTCTTCAACAGTTAAAAGCTGCCCGCCGTCAGACCGGGCCGCCTTGCTTGCTTTTAGAGCCGCTCTCCATGAACCTTACCTTGGAATCTTCAATTCTTGGACCGGAATTGACTGCTGTCATAAATGGTACGGCGTTAGTTGCGACCCGGAGACCCACAGGGTCGCCGATATAAATCTCAGAGGTGAATCCGAAGACCCCATTTTTGAAAAAGCTGGCCGGTCCGGTTACATGACAGGTACAATCTCGCCTTCCATCTGTAAGCTAGAGCGACTCTCGAGTCTCACAATCGCTGATTGGAAAGGGATCTCCGGAGAGATTCCGCGGTGCATCACTTCGCTTCCGTTTCTAAGGATTGTTGATTTGATCGGGAACCGGATCTCCGGCGACCTACCTGCAGATATAGGACGGTTACACAGATTAACCGTGCTGAACGTTGCCGATAATCTTATTTCCGGTGAGATCCCCCGTTCTTTGACGAATCTGTCGAGCCTGATGCACCTGGATTTGCGTAATAACAGAATCTCAGGACCACTTCCCCAAGATTTTGGGCGTCTCCGAATGTTAAGCCGCGCTTTGCTCAGTCAGAATTTCATTAGCGGAAGAATTCCGATTTCAGTTTCGAAAATTTACCGTCTGGCCGATTTGGATCTTTCGGTAAATAGACTCTCGGGTGCAATACCTGATTCTCTGGGTAGAATGGCGGTTCTAGCTACACTAAATTTAGATTCTAACAAGCTTTCAGGGAAAATACCGCCAAGTTTATTCAATTCAGGGATTAGTAACTTGAATTTGAGCAAGAACGCATTTCAAGGATATTTGCCCGATGTTTTCAGTGTGAGATCTTATTTTACAGTACTTGATTTATCGTATAACAATTTCCGGGGGCCGATACCGAAATCTTTATCAGAAGCGTCGTATATCGGACACTTGGATCTGAGTCACAACCATCTCTGTGGAAGAATCCCGGTAGGCTCTCCGTTTGATCATCTTGAAGCTTCGTCGTTTTCACATAATGATTGTCTGTGCGGGAAGCCGCTTAGAGCTTGTTAGATATGGAAATTTGGTAGTATAATACTATGTTTGTTGTAAAATGAGACACTTGGATCTGGAGCAACAACCATCTCTGGTGACAGAAATCCCGGTAGCTCCCCGTTTGCATCATCTTGAAGCTTCGTCCGTTCTTCACATTAATTGATTGTTCTGTGCGGGAAAGCCCGCTTAAGGAGGCTTGTTAGATATGCAAATTTGGGTAGTCTATAATACTATGTTTGTCTGTAAACATGACGGCACGAGCAAAGAAAGCGTGGTATACGACAAAACTATGGTTTTTAGGCATTACGTGAGTTATTTTTGTGTTTTAGTTACTACTTATCCTATTATTTGGATTCCAAAAAGGGTTCATGCAACGCTTTCACCATTTTTGCATGTTTTTCGAAAAGCTTTTCATATATCACACAAGAGTTAGTACCATATTGAAAATTAAATAGCGATAATTTAATCTTAAGATTTGCGTTATTGCCAAGATATCATAATAATTCAATCTCAATGTGAACGTTGAACACTTACAACACTCTCTTTCCGCCTTTCGAAACCTAAATCATCTTCATTTTTTTTATGTTCTTATAAAAAAATGTCCTTTATAAATTTTTAATCACTCTCAATTCAATATTTCTCAGGACCCCACCAAGTCACCAGACTCACTCGACGGCCCGCGCGTCCCTGTACGTCTGTCTCTTCTCTAAATTCTACCTTTTAGATTTACATTTAGTAATTTAACCAAGCAACCAGCCTATTAGTATTAATTATCCTTCGAACTTATATTTTTAATTTTAATTGGAACGCCAAAATAAAATATTAAGTACCTAAAATTAATTTTTTATAGCAAGCGTTTTTAGACTTATTAATTTAATATAAATTAATCAATTAATTTTCTTGTCTCTAGAAAGCGCGGCGGCGACAAAGGAGCAAAATTAATAAAGAAACAATCGAAAGCACAGCGCGCACGACGTGAAGAGCATTAGTAGACGCAATATAAGCGATCATCGACCTCCCAGGTTGGCTGGGATTTTTACAGGGACTGGGGCCGACCCTTCGGTGCCAAATAAAATTCAACTCTCTGGCAACCGTCCTCCTGCCGCCATACCAAATTTGCATACATACTCCCCAATTGATCAGTGTTATGTAAATGCTGATTCACTTCCGGCACCTACCCTATCCCATGCATGCAGAACCCGTCACTCGGCCCGCCAATCGCCGCGTCCGGTCGTAGGTGAGAAACTTAAACAGTTCGGTTTTAAATGTCAAACAGCATCATACCAGTGCTATAAGTAAATGTTAGTGAAAAGATAAAGAAGAAAAAAGAGATAAATTTAATTTTCACCCTATGAATAATTAACTTCTGGACCGCTTGCATACAATTTAACATATCCCCATGTATTATGTATGTGATTACTTCGGCCTACCATGCATGGACCCGGTCCGTGGGTGAGGAAATAAACTCGGTTTAAACTGTCAACATGCATTACAGTCTATAAGTAAATTTAGAAAAAGAAAAAGAAAAAAGATAAATTTATTTCCCCTATGATACGTTATTTTAAATTTATTATAAATAAATTTCATGTTTAATATTAGAAGAAATATAAGAACATCAAAAGTAGGCACACGTTTTATACACTTAATTAATAGGTGATGACAATTTTTTTTTTAAAAAAATACATCTTTTTATCATTCTTTTTTTTCAATAAAAAACATAAATATAATTTATAATTATATAATATTAGGAAAAGGCACCTAAACTCGATATATGTATCCATTTATATACTAAATAAAAGTCCAATGGCATTTTAGTTTAAATGAGGGTATTTTCGATCATGCATTAAAAAAAAAAAGGATAAAAAAGTGATATTTTATAAATAAAAAAAATGTAATTGGCTTAATATATGAGATCACCCAAGAAATTTAAAAACGTAGCATTTATACTAATATTTAGAATTTAAAAGATTTTCTTTTCAAAAAAAATAAAATAAAAGATTTAATTATGAAATCACACGCTATCTAACGTGTGATGAAATGCTAATAAAGTAGTGAGTGTAATTCCTTTCTTGAAAAAATGAACTTGCTAAAAGTCTTTCGAAGTCGATGGTTTTATATTACAATTTGGTACTATATTATTATTTGAATTGGTGATTGTAACCTTACAATGATCACAGATGAAATTAAAATAAAAAAAAATGATGAAAAATATGATTATATATAGCGATTTCTTGGAGGAGGAGAGTCAATATTCCATGCTATATGTGTAAATATTGTCTTGATTCCGAGAAGAGAGAGTTAAAGATTGTCTGATCTCCGACAGCGATAACAGGTTTGTTTTTGACATTCATTATCTATTTTGCTTTCCATGTATAATTAGTTAGATAGATCTGGAAAATGATATTATTAAATTTTCATGAAAATTAGAAAGTAGAAGCTCTTCTTTTTTTCTTTTTTTTTATTTTTATTTTTTTATTTTTTATATTCCAGTCGTTTCCAAGTTCTTAGAGATTTGCTTCTTCAAATTTTATTTATTTTGAAAACTAAAAAACGAACAAAAGAAATTTTGTTAATCTATATTCTATCATATTAAATGATTAACTATCAAATCTCATCCATTCATTTACACAAATCAAGCATAGGTGTACTCAGAGCATGGAATTAATCCTTTCTTAGTTCCTAATCCACTCAAAGTATACAATTTAAGAAACAATTATATGCTGCTTAAATCTAAAACTATTAAAACAGATCTACGCCTATAGACTGTTAGAGATCGCCCGTATCTCAACAAAAAAATTGAGAACCGTTTACAAAACAGGTTTTTTTTTTTTTTTTTTTTTTTTTTTTTTTTTTTTTTGTTTTTTATTGTGTGTATTTTAAAATTGCAACTGTTTTAATTCATTTGTTTCATTGATTTTGTAAATATTTTTTTTTTTTTTTTTTTTTTTTTTTTATTGTTGATTTTAAATTTGAACTGTTTTATCATTGTTATTGATTTTAAATTTAGATTACTTTATTATTATTGTCGATTTTAAATTCGGATCGTAACTGTATTGATTTTAATTTTTGATAATTTTATTATTAAGTTTTTGCTTGAAAAAAAAATGCAAATAAAAAAAAGCGCAAAATTTTTTTTTTTTAAAAGATAGGCATGCTGTAAGTTGCATCGAGATTGAATATTGGAGATCCGTTTTTTAATGAGTTTTTTTTTAGCTCGACCCGTTATGGGACCGACCCCGCACAGTCCAGGCTGCCCGATTTGGCCGGGCTACTTGAATCATAGCAATTAGCATTATTTGATGGCAAATAATAATAATATTATTCAAACGTATTTTCTCCAAACATGTGCTTATTCTTAAAACTTCCCACTTGTTAGCAATGTATATAACCCTAATTTTTATTCTGACAGGATGTTGTGTGATCATATTATTATTGATGTTGAAAATTTATCAATTTCCATTGGCAAGGATCTGGAAGCTTTACATCCATTATCAGTCGAATGTTGCATTTATAAAGTGCCTAGGACACTGTATCGATTAAACGAAGTGGCCTACACACCTCAAGTGGTCTCCATCGGTCCACTTCACCATGGCAAACCAGAGCTAAAGTTAATGGAGGAACATAAAAGAAGATATACGAAAGAGTTCCTTCAACTCAGCACTAGTAGTGTTAGTGTGAAAGAATATGTTGAATTCATAAGGAAGAGGGAAAAAAGGTTGCGCAATTCCTATGCCGAAACCATTCTACTTAATCCTCAAGACTTTGTGAAGATGATTTTAACAGATGCTGCTTTTCTAATTATGGTGCTCTTGAAATTTAGTTGCCCAGAGCTCCAAAGTAGCAACGATCGTATATACTCGAGACCATGGATGTCAGGCGATGTTCGGTATGATATACTGTTGCTCGAAAATCAACTTCCATTCTTTATCCTTGAGGAGTTGTATGATGTATCTGGTATACCTAATAAGCTTCAAAAACCTGGACTTTCCATGATCCAGCTTGTTCACTCCTTCTTCAAAATTAAATGGGATCATTGGGTGTTAGATGATGTATTGGAGAAACAGAACTTTTTAGAAACAAAGCATCTACTTGATTTTCTGAGGATCTGTCAGCAACCATTAGCTGGAAATAAAATAAAATCAGGTGTCAAATGGTATGCACCTAGTGTTACAGAGCTTTACCGAGCAGGAGTCAAATTTGAGTTGGCGTCAAGCAAAAACCTTCTTGAGATTGAGTTCAGAGATGGCATTTTGAAACTTCCAGCGTTGAAAATAACAAATAGGTCTGAAATTTTATTAAGGAACCTACAGGCATTTGAGCAATGCCATTGCCAAGACAAATATTTAAATGACTATATTTCATTGATCAGTAGTCTGGTTGAGACAGCTGAAGATGTCAAAATAATGGCTGAAAATGGAATTATACAAAATCGGCTACGGAATAATGATAGTCTGTCAACTCTTTTTAACTATCTTGCCAGAGGAAATCTTGTGTCCAGACACAGCTTCTACTTCTCCAATATAGTTGAAGCTCTTAATCTGTATTGCAAAAACCCTTGGCACAAGTGGAAGGCAACCCTCAAACAGGATTATTTCAATAATCCATGGGCAGGGATTTCTGTTCTTGCAGCTTTTATTCTTCTCATGCTTACTGTCGTACAAACTGTGTGTTCCCTACTGCAAATTTAGATTCTACTCTACTGTAAAATGTGTATCTTTTTCTGAAACTGTCCCAAGTGAAATGTATCGCAATAGAGAAGCATTACTACAGGATCCTTATTGAAGAATTGAATGCGTACTGCAAAATCCCTGGCCATAATCCCTGTCTTCCCAGCATGTGTTCTTCTCATCCTCACTATGATCCAGACTGTAAGATCTATCATTCAATTGTAAACTCTAGATATATCATTTCATGGTTTCTTGATTTAGTCTATAATTGATTTCTTAATTTTTTATTATTAAAACAATTAATCTGTTAAAGTCCTACATTTTTGCTGCTGCAGACGTGAAATTAGAGTGAAATTTTCAGCTATAAAACAACTAAGTTTGATAATTAAATCTAAACCAAATTTAAAATTTATGCAGATTTTAACAATTTTCACATTTATAAAAGCCAGAATTGGGTTGAGCAAATTTTCACATTTATAAAAGCCAGAATTGGGTTGAGCAACAAAAGGCCCAAACAAAAAATCTGTCGGACTAGGCCCACTGTATGGAGATCCTAATAATTTTCAGTTTCACGCCCAATAAGAAAATAGCATCTACAAGGTAAAAAAGCACGTGGCAAAAATTTTGTTTCCGTGGAGAAATAAATATCTAAAAACAACCTATATGAGACAGAATAAGTGCTTTATTGAACATCGGAAATTGCTTGCCTACTTCAGCTCCATAGAAGACTCGAGGGCCAAAGTCTTTCTAGTCAACGACAACTTAGCGTTATATCCATACGAAGATTGTAACCTTACAACGCCAAAAAAAAAAAAAAAAAAAAATAAAAAAAACTTATTATATATATATATATATATATAGTTCAAATTATATATATATTATATATATATATAACATAAAGATATTCCGATTCTTGTTTTCCTTCTAGTATTATTAGTTCAAGAATTTCCACTTGTAATACATAAAGATTATTCAGATTCTTGTTTTCCTCTAGTATTATTAGTTCAAGAATTTCCACTTGTATCCTTCAAAAAGAAAAAAAAAAAAAGAATTTCCAGTTGTGAAACACTCTGATTATTCAGATTCTTTCCCTGTTAAACTTTCAATTTTTTAAAGATTTATTTAAATCATAAGTTAAAGCTTGTTCTGTTTTTCACTTCAGTTCCTGTTCTGTTTTTTCACAAGGAGCATCAGAATTTCTGGATCACAGAATTTGTTTTTTCATCCTCTCTCATACTTGGCTTCTTCTTTAATCCGAATTACATTCTCTGAGGAATTCTAAATGAGTAGATGGAAGAAGAAAATAATCAAGTTCTGATTGATATTTACGAGTTAACAAAAATTGTGAGCAGAGAGTTGGAAACCGTGCAGCCATTATCTGACACTTGTTTCATCTACAGAGCTCCCAAGCGACTGCGAGACTTGAATGAAAAGGCCTACACACCTCAGTTAGTCTCCATTGGTCCCTACCATCACAGCCGAAAAGAGTTAAAACCCATGGATGAGCATAAAAGAAAGTACTTGCAATATTTTCCTGAAAGAAGCAAGGTAAATATGGGAGATTCGATTCGAGTTGTTGCAAAGAATGAAACAAGACTGCGCAATTGTTACGCAGAAATCATTAATCTGACTAGTCATGAATTTGTGAAAATCTAAAGGAGGAGTGTTGTGATATTGAAACTACTGAAACCATAAATATAAGTAAAGTAAATTCTTAATTTTAACAACTTTTTCACGTGTTTGAGTGTGAGGTAGAGAATCCTCTGCTTTTCTTTTGTTGTTGAGTTTGCTTGTTGTGTTTGTAAAGGAGAAATTCCAACAGCTGCCATGATTCTCTTACTTAATTAGCCAACGCCTCTTTTGGAGATTAATTCTACTTGTAATGATTATATTTATTAAATTTCCAGTTCATATATGTATATATATGGTTGGATAGCAAGCAAATCCTCCCATCAACTTCTCTTTGATATTTTTCACACTGCTGCGTGTACTTTAGAAGAAAAAAAAAGGGAAGAAAAACCAGTCTTATAATTCCTGCAAAGTCTATATATATCTAGAAGGTTTTTTATTACTCCCCATTAGTTCTTTGGATTTCATTATCAATTAGTATTTATTTGGTTGTATTTTGAACAAGAAAAATTGTAAAGGTAGCTATAATTAATTTTTGAAATATCTGATGATCGCCTGCAGATGAACAACGAAGAAGAAGTTGATGTTGAAGAGTTAGCAAAGTGTGTGAAGAAGGAGCTGGCAATGCTGCAACCTTTATCAGACAAGTGTAGTATCTAAAAAGTTCCAGAAAAAGAAAGAAAATTGAATGAAAAGGCATACACACCTCGAGTTGTCTCCATAGGCCCTCTTCACCATAGGAAAGAAGAGCTCAGGGCAATGGAAGACCATAAAAGGAGGTACTTGCTGGATTTTCTTGAATGGAGCCATTCAAGTATGGAGGATATGATCACATGTATCAAGGAAAATGAGAGAAGATTGCGTGATTGCTATGCAGAACCAATTGAACTCGCAAGTGAGAAATTTGTGAAAATGATGTTGGTAGACGCTGCCTTCCTCATTTCTCTTTTACTTAAAAAAGCTCTCCCAGAATTTCAAAGCAGTAGTGACCGTATATTTAACAAACCAAAACTGATTCTTGATATAAGGGTTGACATATTTTTGCTGGAAAATCAGGTTCCGTTTTTTATTCTTGTGGATTTGTTTGAGCTGTCTAAAATAGGTGTACGTGAGGAGGGCGTGCTGATCTCTATGATTGAGCTCACTCATTTTTTCTTTGAAGGTAGACGGGGTTCTTGGGTGAGAGAGGACATTCTACAGCTACAAGATTTCTCTCAAGTAGAACATTTTCTTGATTTTTGAAGAATTTGTCAGCGACCGCCAAAGCCTAAGCCCTCAAACGAAAAAATAATAAACCTAGTGGCACCAACAATAACGGAGCTCCATCATGCTGGTGTAAAGATTGAGTTGCATTCAAGCAGAAACAAACTGGACATTGAATTTGATAGTAAAAAGGGGATTCTAAAAATCCCACGCTTTAAAATGGAGGAGGCAGTAGAAATTCTGTTAAGAAATCTACAGATATTTGAGAAGTATCATTTTCAGGGCAGAGACAAGTACGTGAATGACTACGCGTACATGCTTGCTCAGCTTATCAAATCTGATAAGGATGTGGAAACACTAGAGCAAAGAGGGATTCTAGAAAATTGGATGCAGAACAACCAAGCCGTGGCAACATTTTTAGGTAGCATTGACTGTGAAGTCGATCGTACGAGGTTCTACTTTTTTCCAATTCTTGAAGATCTGAATTCGTATTGCAAAAATCCTTGGTACAAATGGAATGCCAACTTGAGACAAAATTATTTTAACACTCCATGGGCTGGGATCTCAGTTGCTGCAGCTGCTTTTCTTCTCTTTCTCACTATAATTCAAACTGTGTGTTCTATCCTTCAACTGTAGGCGTGCCTAGGCTTTAGCTATGTCTAATTCTCTATTTCTGTTTAGTGAATCTGGGTTTGCTCTTGTATTGTGCGTTAAAAATTACTCCATTTATCCAAAAAAATATATGTGATCTTTGAGTAATTATTTGATTTTTAAAATATATGTCGTTTTTTAATATTTGAATAAGTAATAAATGATATTTTTTTAATATTATCTTTATTTACATTAAATGCAATAATTATCTAGACAAGTAATTATTGATTTTGAGATAAAAAATAATTTGATCAAATTATTTTTGATTTTATAATTAGTCAAGAGAATTAATTATTTTTTTAATTTTTAAAAATTTTAAATTTTGGAATAGAAAATAACTTTGTCAATGAACAGGTGTTTGGTTCTTGTGTGTAAATGTAAGAAGAAGAAAAAAGATGCGGTAACGTAATGAACCACATAACATCAATAAAAAATTGCCACCCAGAATTATGTCGGGTTTTATCGCCTTGCTGGCCATGGTTAAACTTTGATCACTCCTCGGTTAACATTCTACAACGTGTCATAATCTTCCAGTGAAATGGAAAAAACTTACCACCTCGTCCATGGCTCCATACGTGGACCAAAATAATAAGATCTCATTTGTAATAAATAATTTTCATAAAATTTTATGAAATGTATTAAAAATTAAATTTTGTGTTTTGGAATAAAAAAGTATAGATTTAATTTTTATAAATTGAATTTTATGAAATTGAGCATATTTAACTCAAATTTTACTAAAATTGATAAAATTCATAAATGAATTTCACAAAATCGATCATTAAAATATTTTGATATAAATTCAATTATTTTTACTTTTTCTTCCTTTTTGTTTATTTTCTTTGAAAAATTCCTATATAATAATATTATTTTTTAATCCAGTAATAACGCTAATTTTTATTTTTATTTTTTTTCTTTGAAAAATTTCAAACTAGTAATGACGTTTTTTTTTAAGTATAGTAATAATGTTAGTTATTATTACTATGAAACTATAAAAACTGAATATAATAATTATTTTCAAATGTAATTAAAAACAATAGTAACATTCTTAATATATGAAACTTTATTATTACTATGAAACTATAAAAACTGAATATAATAATTATTTTCAAATGTAATTAAAAACAATAGTAACATTCTTAATATTCTTTTTAGTTTTCAAATTAATTACTTAAATCAACAAAAGTTTTTACATCAATTAAAAATAATTATTATGATTAATTTTACTGATTCTATAATTAATTAAGTAGCTAATTAATTAATTAGCATGAAATGTTAGTGTACTTATTTATATGAAATTTGTTATTTATATTTTAATAAAAAATGACAAGTAATTATATTGTACATAATAAATATAATTGGTTTATTTATTTTGCTTTTAATTATTATGTCAAGGTTTATATGAAATAAAGAGAAATGAATTTTAATTTAAGAATTTTATTTCAAACATTAATTTACGGAATTAATTGATTTAATTGAATTTCTTATTTTAAATTGTAGCATACTAAATATGATAAATTCATTTGGAAATTCCAAATGAATTCTACAATTAGATTCATTTGTTCCAAACAGGTAATAAAAATATACTTCCTCTGTCTTAAAAATATAGTCTATCTTTTTTTTTTTTTTTGTCCTAAAATATAACCCACTTTTCTTTTATGCATTATAGTTAATCCTTAAATTGTCCACTATACCCTTATTAAATTTTATTTATTTTCAATAACATTCATTAATTCTTACTTATTATTTCATATAATAAATACTCATGTCTTATTTAAGACGTGTATAATAAGAAAGTTATATGCATAAAATTTCCTTTAACCATAATAACTATTATTTTTTAATCTGTATCAAAATAGAAAGTGGACTATCTTTTTGGGACGGATGAAGTAATTTTTTTAAAAAAATGAAAGTATTTATGACCATATACTTAAAAAAATAAAAGATTAGTTAAAAACAATTTTTAAAAAATATTTAATTTCATTTATTTGATCTATAAATTGAATCATAAACCCGATCTGGACAAGTATTTTTCAAAGTTAAGAAACTTGCATAATGTGAAGCGATGAACTTATACAACATCTGTATACCAAACCAAGTTATAAAAACAATTTTTACTTGCATAATTTTGACCATTTATAGAAAAAACAGTAATAATTTCTTAAAAAAAACAGTAATAATTTCTTAAAAACCCTACATTAATTAATAATTGTCATAACGACTACATTATATTTATGAATTTACTTGCCAATTCTCCGAAGAAAGTGGAATTACTGGTTCAGAAGGGACTTCTTGTAAGTTTGTTACATGATAGGGGTGCCAAATCTTTTTGCCAAACTGGGTGCGGCATGTTTTATCAGCAACTCAGCATCTCAGCATACATACTACAAAATCGAGAGAACAATTTTCTAAAGTTTCGATTCATATTCTATTTTTCAAATGTTTGAAATCCCATCTTCTTTCTTTTTATCTTTTTTGACAATCTCTCCATTTTTCCAATATCTCAGACGGAAAGGGCTTTGATATTAGTTGAATTCTTCTTTTCTGGTGGACTAATTTGTTTTTGTTCATTCAATATTCTTTTCGGGTGTGTTTTAAAGTTTCTCACAATCTTTTGATATGTATGTAAGTTGCTCGATGAAAGGTCCGCATTGAAACTCTCCTAATACAGAAGTGGTAGCTAGGTAGACATCCTGTGTCATAACGCATTGACACCATTTTGAAGAAGATTAATACCAATATGGATCCTGACCTTGAAATTCTGGAACGAGAAACTCGTGCTTTTATTTCCGATCCCAGCCCAGGGGTCTGCTGTGATGGAGTTGGATAAATTAGAAATTAAGATTTTTTTTATGATCCAAAAAAAAAGGAAAACGAATGGAGCGGCTGGTCTTCGTCTCCAAAAACGAATGGAGCGGCTGGTCTTCGTCTCCACCTTTAGAACATGAAATAAAGTAGATGCTCTGCAAGTATATGCTGTGGCGTTGTGGGCTGGATGGATAGACATCGGAAACTATGAATCCCACGTCTTGACAAATGAGAACACTGGATAGAAAAAAAAAAAAACCGAAATTTCTCGAGTTGGAAAACTCGAGAAATTCCTAAGATGGGACAAAAATTGCAGCTTGTTACATAGAATAAAACGCTGGTCTCCTTCAATGCGATTTCTCCATTAACTGCGAAGAAATTATTATACAAGTTCCTTTGGCGAAGAGAGAATGTCTTCCTGGACATATAAAACTGTGCACAAGAATGGACATTGTAGCTGTGCCCAATTCCATCTCATCAACATCTCAGGTCGTCCTCCTGTATCTTAATCAAGGAGCCAAGTTTGCTCTCACAGTGCTTTCAAGGATCTCCTTAATGGTGCAAGAATAACAGGGTTTAGCACTGTCCTTTTATTTTTAACTTATTTTGAAACGAAAAAAATTATTCACATTCTTCCCTTGGCCACTAAAATGTTGAATTGTCATCATATTTGGTTGAAGATCTTTTAATTTTCTTTCTCAGTTGGAATGTAATTATACTAACTGTTATTCGACTCTTATGGCTAGTTATCATGAGGTTAGTGTAACCATCAAACTGAAACAATCAAAGAAGAAATGATTGAAGTTTTTACCTGATGTCAATTGAACTAGGCAAAGTCTGTGAGAAGCGAATTTGAAAAACTGGCATTCTTTTATCTGACCGATTGGTTGCATCTCCAGAGTGCCCAAACACTGCGCCAGTTAAATGAAAAAGGCGCTACACCCCTCGGGCAGTCTCCCATTGGGCCCCTTTCACCATGGCAAAGAAGAATTTTAAAAGCAAATGGAAGAAGCACAAGAGAAGGTATTGAATGAGTTTTCTTGATGGAGTGAAGTAAGTATAGAAGATTATATTAAACAAAAAATAAAAGAACATGAGACCAGATTGCGCCAATTGTTATTCAGAAACAGTTGGCCTTGTGAAAAAAGTGAGGATTTTGTGAAAATAATTATTGATAGATGCTGCCTTTATCATTTATGTTGCAATTGAAACAAAGATTGAAAGAATTTCGAAGTAAGAAATACTAGAGTATTCAGTTAAACCATGGATGATAGGAGGTGCCGTTTCGACATTTTGTTGCTCGAAAATCAGCTTCCATTTCTTCATTCTGGATGATTTGTTTAAGCTATCGAATAACCTCCTGTAGGGTCATAGAAACTTTCCCATTATTATGCTTACCCATAACTTCTTTATTGATACGTCTTGGCTCCTGGGTGGCAAAGCGCAATTAGATAAACATGATTTTTCTAAAAAGAACATATGGTCGACTTTCTGAGGATTTGTCAACAGCCTCCAAATGCCAGGAACAGAAAGAAACTCAAGAAGTTAAACTGTACCCGTTTTACAGAAGCTCGCTTCAAGCTGGAGTCAATTTGAGTTGGGTTCAAGCAAAAAGTTACTCAACATAAAAATTTCCAAAATGGTGTTTTGGAAAATTGCCACCATTACAAATAGATTACAATTCTTGAAATCTTGTTGAGAAGGAAATCTCCAAGCCTTTGAGCAATGCCTTTGCAACCGGGACAATTATTGTAAGTGACTATAATTACTCTTGGTCTCATATTGCTGCCAAGGGTCCTAAAATGTGGAAATACTTGCTCGAAATGGAAAATGGAGAATTGGCTATGAATAACGAAGGGGTTGTCAACTCTGTTGTCAGAAACTTGTACAGGAGAACCTTCTCTTTCCTTGATACTTCTACTTTTCTTCTCTTGTGGTAAGATCGTGAATTCATATTGACAAAAAACCCTTGGGCGAACAAGTGGAAGGCAACCTTGAAAAACAAGATTATTTCAATACTCCATGGGCAGTTCTATCTCTGTGATTCTGCAGCTGGGTTTCTACTCATATTCACTGTCATACCAATCCGTCTGTTCCTCCTTTCAACTGGATATTTAGTAGGTTCTTACTATTTCAAACTTTTTTATTTCTTTTATTAATGTTGGTCCTTATTGTTCTTGTTATAGTTCTTTTACCAAAAAAAAAAAAGGCCTTCAGTACTGGAGTAAGCACATGCACTGTTATTAGAGATTACTTGGTTTTCAAATAGGAGCAGATAAATAAATATAGGAGAAGATAAATTTTATTTAAACTTTGATTTAAAATGGCGTCCACCAATAATTTTCAGATTTCTAAAGCTGAACAATTCCTTTGACATCCACCAATATTTTCAGATTTCTAAAGCTGACAATTCCTTCTGACATACCTATAAAATACTAAGAATTACCCTCTTCATGCATAGCTTGTCAGTGATGAAGATTTGAAGAATCAGAGGCATAGATATAAAACTTAAAAACAAAAAAAAACAAACCAGCCTGACTTGCTTTCCCTAATTTACTCTTGGCGCGAATCTGAACAGACACTAATTTTTATATCTGCTTCAACCCATCAGAATGGGATAATGAATGTACTCCTATGGGGACAAGAAAATAAATGAAGCACTTTATTGCCCTATTAGGATATGAATTGGCTTTCTGTGTCCTCTTCCCAAAATGGTTAAGCTTGAATGTTAAAATAAACAGTATAATATTCATCTCTGAAGCTCAGTAATGGAGCCAGAAGATAATTCCGATTTGCTCCCTTTGCTACGAAAATGATCGGATGATACTCGCTTATTCCGTTGTTCATTACAAAGCTGGCTCCCGCATTAAATTTAGCGTCTGATGATTCTGACTTGCAGCTAAGCTTCAGGCTTGTTCCTGACTTATAATCCACACCGCTAAACACAAAGCAATCCTCTTGGCTTGCTGACTCCATTGATATTGTTCCTTCCTTTCCATCCAATCCAGAAACTAAGCGGAACAAGGATGATCCATCGGTACCATCAGAACTTGCAACTGCAAGGTTGACATCTTTTCCTTGCTGTACTAAAAACATTCCTGATAGACTAAACGGTTCTAGCATGACATATTTTCCAGTAGCATCTTTAACTGATGATGGTTTTGGGGAAGAAGATTCATTCAAGACAACTCTAAAAGTGGCATGAACAGATTTACTACTGCCAGATTCAGGGAACTTTTCCATTGTAATTGATTGATTCGAGTTTGTCAAGACAAAAACTGAATTTCCATATTCTTGGGAAAAAGATACTAGGTGATTATTATAAGTGGCAGGAATTGGAGTTATCCAGTCCGAAAGAGAGTTGACTGATCTAGATCGGATGTCCCAATCACCACTGCTATGACCAGCAAGCAGGTAAGGACCATAAAGTATTGCCTGAATAGAAGCATACTCAGACCGGTCGTCTGAATATTTAATCAAATGTACTTGATTTATCGCATAACAATTTCCGGGGGCCGATACCGAAATCTTTATCAGAAGCGTCGTATATCGGACACTTGGATCTGAGTCACAACCATCTCTGTGGAAGAATCCCGGTAGGCTCGCCGTTTGATCATCTTGAAGCTTCGTCGTTTGCACATAATGATTGTCTGTGCGGGAAGCCGCTTAGAGCTTGTTAGATATGGAAATTTGGTAGTATAATACTATGTTTGTTGTAAAATGAGGGAGAAAGGTGTATGGTTTTTAGGATTTGATTATTTATGTGTTTAGTTACTTTATTATTATGGGATTCAAAAGGTTTCATGCACGTTATTTTGCATGTTTCGAAGCTTTTCATATATCAAAAAGTTTAGTACATATGAAATTAATACGTAATAATTTAATTTGTATTGCAAGTATAATATAATTAATCTCAATGTGATTGAACACTTACATACACTCTCTCCCTTTCGAAATAAATATCATTTTTTTTGTTAAAAAATGTCCTTTTTATAAATTTTAATACTCTATTAATATTTTCTTTTCTAATCTACCTTTTATTTATTTAGTAATTTAGGCATTATATAATTATCCTTCAACTATATTTTTAATTTAATTGGAACGCAAAATAAATATTATATAAATTAATTTTTATAAATTTTAGACTATATTAATTTTTATAAATTAATTCAATTAATTTTTTTCTTAGAAAGAGAAAAAGAAAATAATAAAAACAAAAAGACAGCGCACGTGAAGCATTAGTGAGATAAGGACTGGACCTCAGTTTGCATTAAAGGAAATGGGCCAACGGTGCCAAAAGAATTAACTTCTGGACCGCTTGCATACAATTTAACATATCCCCATGTATTATGTATGTGATTACTTCGGCCTACCATGCATGGACCCGATCCGTGGGTGAGGAAATAAACTCGGTTTAAACGAGTATTTTCAACATGCATTACAGTCTATAAGTAAATTTAGAAAAAAAAAAAAAGAAAAAAAAAATCTTAGAGATAAAATTTATTTCCCCTATGATACGTTATTTTAAATTTATTATAAATAAATTTCATATTTAATATTATAAGAAATGTAAGAACATGTTTTATACACTTAATTAATAGGTGATGACAATTTTTTTTTTTAAATACATCTTTGTATCATTCTTTTTTTTTTCAATAAAAAATGTAAATATAATTTATAATTATATAATATTCAGGAAAGGTACCTAAATTCGATATTAAATAAAATTACAATGATGTTTTAGTTTAAACGAGAGTATTTTCGATCATGCATTGAGAAAAAAAAGAATAAAAGAGTGACATTTTATAAAAAAAAAAATTTAATTGGCTTAATGTATGAGACCACCCACATACCGGCAGTAGTCAAGAAATTTAAAGATGTAACATTTATATTAATATTTAGAATTTAAAAGATTTTCCTTTCAAAAAAAAAAAAAGATTTAATTATGAAATCATATGCTATCTAACGTGTGATGAAATGCTAATAAAGTAGTGAGTGTAATTCCTTTCTTGAAAAAATGAACTTGCTAAAGGGTTTAATAATACTGTCCGAAGTCTTTCGAAGTCAATGGTTTTATATCACAATTTGGTACTATATTATGATTTCAATTGGTGATTGTAACCTTACAACAACCACAGATGAAATAAAAAAATAAAAAATGATGCAAAATATGATTATATATAGCGATTTCTTGGAAGAGGAGAGTCAATCTTCCATGCTATATGTATAAATATTGTCTTGATTCCGAGAAGAGAGCATTAAAGATTGTCTGATCTCCGACAGCGATAACAGGTTTGTTTTTTACATCCATTATCTATTTTGATTTCCATGTATAATTAGTTAGATAGATCTGGAAAATGATATTATTAAATTTTCATGAAAATTAGAAAGTAGAAGTTTTTTTTTTTTTTTTTTTTTTTTTTTTTTTTAGGTTTGTTTTTTACATCATTATTCCTATTTTTGATTTCCATTGTATAATTAGTTAGATAGATCTGGAAAATGATATTATTAATTTTCATGAAAATTAGAAAGTAGAAGTTTTTTTTTTTTTTTTTTTTTTTTTTTTTTTTTTTTTTTTTTTTTTTTTTTTTTTTTTTTTTAAATATTCCAGTCGTTTCCAAGTTCTTAGCTATTTGCTTCTTCAAATTTTATTTATTTTAAAAACTAAAAAACGAACAATAGAAATTTTGTTAATCTATATTCTATCATATTAAATGATTAACTATCGAATCTCATCCATTCATTTACACCAATCAAGCATAGGTGTACTCAGAGCATGGAATCAATCCTTTCTTAGTTCCTAATCCACTCACAGTATACAATTTAAGAAACAATTATATGCTGCTTAAATCTAAAACTATCAAAACAAATCTACGCCGATAGACGGTTAGAGATCGCCCGTATCTCAACAAAAGAATTGAGAACTGTTTACAAAACAGGTTTTTTTTTATTATTATTATTGTTGATTTTAAATTTGAACTGTTTTATCATTATTATTGATTTTAAATTTAGATTACTTTATTATTATTGTCGATTTTAAATTCAGATTGTAACGGTATTGATTTTAAATTTTGATTATTGTATTATTAAATTTTTGCTTGAAAAAAATGCAAATAAAAAAATGCGCAAAATTTTTTTTAAAAGATAGGCATGTTACAAGTTGGATTGAGCTTGAATATTGGAGATCCGTTCTTTAATGAGTTTTTATTAGCTCGACCCGTTTTGGGACCGACCCCGCACAGTCCAGGCTGCCGATTTGGCCTGGCTAGCTACTTGAATCATAGCAATTAGCGTTATTTGATGGCAAATAATAATAATATTATTCAAACGTATTTTCTCCAAACAAGTGCTTATTCTTAAAACTTCCCACTTGTTAGCGATGTATATAACCCTAATTTTTATTCTGACAGGATGTTGTCTGATCATATTATTGATGTTGAAAATTTATCAATTTCCATTGGCAAGGATCTGGAAGCTTTACATCCATTATCAGATGAATGTTGCATTTATAAAGTGCCTAAGATACTGTATCGATTAAACGAAGTGGCCTACACACCTCAAGTGGTCTCCATCGGTCCATTTCACCATGGCAAACCAGAGCTACAGTTAATGGAGGAACATAAAAGAAGATATACGAAAGAGTTCCTTCAACTCAGCACTAGTCATGTTAGTGTGAAGGAATATGTTGAATTCATAAAGAAGAGGGAAAAAAGGTTACGCAATTCCTATGCCGAAACCATTCAACTTAATCCTCAAGACTTTGTGAAGATGATTTTAACAGATGCTGCTTTTCTAATTATGGTGCTCTTGAAATTTAGTTGCCCAGAGCTCCAAAGTAGCAACGATCGTATATACTCGAGACCATGGATGTCACGCGATGTTCGGTATGATATACTGTTGCTTGAAAATCAACTTCCCTTCTTTATTCTTGAGGACTTGTATGATGTATCTGGTATACCTAATAAGCTTCAAAAACCTGGACTTTCCATGATCAAGCTTGTTCACTCCTTCTTCAAAATTAAATGGGGTTATTGGGTGTTAGATGATGTGTTGGAGAAACAGAACTTTTTAGAAACAAAGCATCTACTCGATTTTCTGAGGATCTGTCAGCAACCATTAAATTTGCAAGCTGGAAATAAAATAAAATCAGATGTCACATGGTATGCACCTAGTGTTACAGAGCTTTACCGAGCAGGAGTCAAATTTGAGTTGGCGTCAAGCAAAAACCTTCTTGACATTGAGTTCAGAGATGGCATTTTGAAACTTCCAGTGTTGAAAATGACAAATAGGTCTGAAATTTTATTGAGGAACCTACAGGCATTTGAGCAATGCCATTGCAAAGACAAATATTTAAATGACTATATTGCATTGATCAGTACTCTGGTTGAGACAGCTGAAGATGTGAAAATAATGGCTGAAAATGGAATTATACAAAATCGGCTACGGAATAATGATAGTCTGTCAACTCTTTTTAACTATCTTGCCAAAGGAAATTTTGTGTCCAGAAAGAGCTTCTACTTCTCCAATATAGTTGAAGCTCTTAATCTGTATTGCAAAAACCCTTGGCACAAGTGGAAGGCAACCCTCAAACAGGATTATTTCAATAATCCATGGGCAGGGATTTCTGTTCTTGCAGCTTTTATTCTTCTCATGCTTACTGTCGTACAAACTGTGTGTTCCCTACTGCAAATTTAGATTCTACTCTACTGTAAAATGTAAATCTTTTTCTGAAATTGTCCCATGTGAAATGCATCGCAATAGAGAAGTATTACTACAGGATCCTTATTGAAGAATTGAATGCGTACTGCAAAATCCCTGGCCGTAATCTGTGTCTTCGCAGCATGTGTTCTTCTCATCCTCACTATGATCCAGACTGTAAGATCTATCTTTCAATTGTAAACTCTAGATATATCATTTCATGGTTTCTTGATTTAGTCTATAATTGATTTCTTAATTTTTTATTATTAAAACAATTAATCTGTTAAAGTCCTACATTTTTGCTGCTGCAGACGTGAAATTAGAGTGAAATTTTCAGCTATAAAACAACTAAGTTTGATGATTAAATCTAAACCAAATTTAAAATTTATGCAGATTTTAACAATTTTCACATTTATAAAAGCCAGAATTGGGTTGAGCACCAAAAGGCCCAAACAAAAAATCTGTCGGACTAGGCCCACTGTATGGAGATCGTAATAATTTTCAGTTTCACGCCCAATAAGAAAATAGCATTTACAAGGTAAAAAAGCATGTGGCAAAGATTTTGTTTCCATCGAGAATTAAATATTTAAAAACAGAGACAGAATAATTAGCTTATCGAAGGAAGGGAAATTACTTACCTACTCCATACAAGACTTGAGTGCCAAAGTCTTTCTAGTCAATGACAACTTAGCATTATATCCATATGAAGATTGTAACCTTACAACACCAAAAAAAAAAAAAAAAAAAAAAAAACCATACAAGACTTGAGTGCCCCAAAAGTCTTTCTAAGTCATGACAACCTTAGCATTTTATATCCATTTATGAAGATTTGATAACTTACACACACCCAAAAAAAAAAAAAAAAAAAAAATTAATAATCATAATATACTAAAAAATAAAGAAAACAGTAATAGATTTATTCAGCTTCTTGTTTCCTCTTGTATTTTTAGTTCAATGAATTTCCACTTGTATTCTTTTCAAACAAAAACAAAAAAAAAAGAATTTCCAGTTCGTGAACCACTCATGAATTATTCAGAAAAAAAAAAAAAAAAAAAGAATTTCCAGTTGTGAACCACTCTGATTATTCAGATTCTTTCCCTGTTAAACTTTCAATTTTTTAAAGATTTATTTAAATCATAAGATAAAGCTTGTTCTGTTTTTCACTTCAGTTCCTGTTCTGTTTTTTCACAAGGAGCATCAGAATTAATGGATCTCAGAATTTGTTTTTTCAGCCTCTCTCATACTTGGCTTCTTCTTTAATCCGAATTACATTCTCTCAGGAATTTTAATTGAGTAGATGGAAGAAGAAAATAATCAAGTTCTGATTGATATTGACGAGTTAGCAAAAATTGTAAGCAGAGAGTTGGAAACCCTGCAGCCATTATCTGACACTTGTTTCATCTACAGAGCTCCCAAGCGACTGCGAGACTTGAATGAAAAGGCCTACACACCTCAGTTAGTCTCCATTGGTCCCTACCATCACGGCAGAAAAGAGTTAAAACCCATGGAAGAGCATAAAAGAAGGTACTTGCAATATTTTCCTGAAAGAAGCAAGGTAAATATGGGAGATTCGATTCGAGTTGTTGCAAAGAATGAAACAAGACTGCGCAATATCATTAATCTGACTAGTCATGAATTTGTGAAAATCTCAAGGAGGAGTGTTGTGATATTGAAACTACTAAAACCATAAATATAAGTAAAGTAAAGGAGAATCCTCTGCTTTTCTTTTGGTGCTGAGTTTGCTTGTTGTGTTTGTAAAGGAGAAATTCCAACAGCTGCCATGATTCTCTTACTTAATTAGCCAACGCCTCTTTTGGAGATTAATTCAACTTGTAATAATTATATTTGTTAAATTTCTAGTTCATATATATATATATGGTTGGGATAGCAAGCAAATCCTCCCATCAACTTCTCTTTGATATTTTTCACACTGATGTGTGTACTTTAGAAGAAAAAAAAGGGAAGAAAAACCAGTGCTTATAATTCCTGCAAAGTCTATATATATCTGGAAGGTTTTTTATTACGACCCATTAGTTCTTTGGATTTCATTATCAATTAGTATTTATTTGGTTGTATTTTGAACAAGAAAAATTGTAAAGGTAGCTATAATTAATTTTTGAAATATCTGATGATCGCCTGCAGATGAACAACGCAGAAGAAGTTTATGTTGAAGAGTTAGCAAAGTGTGTGAAGAAGGAGCTGGACATCCTGCAACCTTTATCAGACAAGTGTAGTATCTACGAAGTTCCAGAAAAAGAAAGAAAATTGAATGAAAAGGCATACACACCTCGAGTTGTCTCCACAGGCCCTCTTCACCATAGGAAAGAAGAGCTCAGGGCAATGGAAGAGCATAAAAGGAGGTACTTGCTGGATTTTCTTCAATGGAGCCATGCAAGCATGGGGGATATGATCACATGTATCAAGGAAAATGAGAGAAGATTGCGTGATTGCTATGCAGAGCCAATTGAACTCGCAAGTGAGAAATTTGTGAAAATGATGTTGGTAGACGCTGCCTTCCTCATTTCTCTTTTACTTAAAAAATATTTCCCAGAATTGCAAAGCAGTAGTGACCGTATATTTAACAAACCCAACCTGATTCTTGATATAAGGGTTGACATATTTTTGCTGGAAAATCAGGTTCCGTTTTTTATTCTTGTGGATTTGTTTGAGCTGTCTAAAATAGGTGTACGTGTGGAGGGCGTGCAGATCTCTATGATTGAGCTCACTTATTTTTTCTTTGAAGGTAGATAGGGTTCTTGGGTGAGAGAGGACATTCTACAGCTACAAGATTTCTCTCAAGTAGAACATTTTCTTGATTTTTTAAGAATTTGTCAGCGACCGCCAAAGCCTAAGCCCTCAAACAAAAAAATAATAGACCTAGTGGCACCAACAATAACAGAGCTCCATCATGCTGGTGTAAAGATTGAGTTGCATTCAAGCAGAAACAAACTGGACATTGAATTTGATAGTAAAAAGGGGATTCTAAAAATCCCACGCTTTAAAATGGAGGAGGCAGTAGAAATTCTGTTAAGAAATCTACAGATATTTGAGGAGTGTCATTTTCAGAGCAGAGACAAGTACGTGAATGACTACGCGTGCATGCTTGCTTATCTTATCAGATCTGATAAGGATGTGGAAATACTAGAGCAAAGAGGGATTCTAGAAAATTGGATGCAGAACAACCAAGCCGTGGCAACATTTTTAGGTAGCATTGACTGGAATGTCAATCGTAGGATGTTCTACTTTTTTACAATTCTTGAAGATCTGAATTCGTATTGCAAAAATCCTTGGCACAAATGGAATGCCAACTTGAGACAAAATTATTTTAACACTCCATGGGCGGGGATCTCAGTTGCTGCAGCTGCTTTTCTTCTCTTTCTCACTATAATTCAAACTGTGTGTTCTATCCTTCAACTGTAGGCGTGCCTAGGCCTTAGCTATGTCTAATTCTCTGTTTCTGTTCAGTGAATCAAAGTTTGCTCTTGTATTGTGCGTTAAAAATTACTCCTCTTGTCCCAAAATATATTTGGTTTTGAAGTGATTATTTTGTTTTAAAATATATATTGTCTTAAATATTTAAATGAGTAATAAATGATATTTTTTCAATATTATTTTTATTTACATCAGATATAATAATTATCTAGATAAGTAATTATTGATTTTGAAATAAAAAATAATTTGATCAAATTATCTTTAATTTTATAATAAATCAAGAGAATTAATTTTTTTTTAATTTTTTAAAAATTTTAAATAATTTATATTTTGGAGCAGAAAATAACTTTGTCAATGAACAGGCGTTTGCTTCTTGTGTGTAAATGTACGAAGAAGAAAAAAGATGCCGTAACGTAATGAACCACATCACATCAATAAAAAATTGCCACCCAGAATTATGTCGGGTTTTATGGCCTTTCTAGCCATGGTTAAAACATTTGATCACTCCTCGGTTAACATTCTACAACGTGTCATAATCTTCCAGTGAAATGGAAAAAACTTACCACCTCGTCCATGGCTCCATTGATAGACCAAAATAATAAGAGTTCATTTATAATAAATAATTTTTATAAAATTTTATGAAATTTATTAAAAATTAAATTTTGTGTTTGGAATGAAAAAGTATAAGTTTAATTTTTACAAATTAAATTTTATGAAATTGAACATATTTAACTTAAATTTTATTAAAATTGATAGAATTTATAAATGAATTTCACAAAATCGACCATTAAAATATTTTGATATAAATTTAATTATTTTTACTTTTTCTTCCTTTTTGTTTATTTTCTTTGAAAAATCCTAACTATAACAACATTATTTTTTTAATCCAGTAATAACGCTAATTTATATTTTTATTTTTTTTCTTTGAAAAATTTCAAAGTAGTAATAACGTTTTTTTTAAGTATAGTAATAACGTTAGTTATTATTACTATGAAACTATAAAAAATGAATATCAATAATTATTTTCAAATGTAATTAAAAACAATAGTAACATTCTTAATATTTTTTTTAGTTTTCAAATTAATTACTTAGGGCAACGCGTGTGCCATAATGCTTTCCATGGTTGAAATGGAAAAAGACTTACGCACCTCGTCCAGGATTGGCTCCATGAGGTAGGCGACCAAAATACAGTAAAAGTTCATTATAATAATAATTTTTTATAAAATTTTTCATGGAAATTTAGGTTAAAACATTAAAAGTTTTGTGCTGTTGCAATGAAGAAAGTATTGATGTGCTTGTCGAACTTTTTAGCAGTAGATTCATTGGGGATTCTATTGGAATTTGAGACATTTCGTAACTTCAAATTGTTATTAAAAATTGATAGAAGCTTTATCAAAGTGTAATTTCACACAAATCGGAACATTAGAGAAAAATAGTCTTTGATATACAATTTAATTATGTGTTCTACTTTTGTTCTTGTCCTTTTTGTTTAGTTTTCTTTGAGAATCCTAACTATAACACATGTATTTTTTAATAGCTAATAGCTATCTTTATATTTCTTGTAGTTTTTTCTTTGAAAAATTTCAAAGTAGTATAACGTTTTTTTAAGTATAGGTCAGAGAGGCGCTAGTTCAGTTGTGTATTATTCTACTGTAAGTCTGAGGGAGAGATGAGATAGTCAACGTAATTATTTCAAATGTAATTAAACACACAACTAGTAACATTTCTTAATATTTTTTTTCAGTGTTCGCAGATTAATTACTTAATCACAAAGAGTTTACATCAATTTAAAAATAATTAATTATGAGTTAATTGTTGAACTGCTCTACTGTAATAATTAATTTAAGTAGCTCAATTAGAATTACATTAGCGCTGAAAATGTAGTGTAGCTATTTTATATGAATTTGGTTAATTTATCATTTTAATTAAAAAGTGACAAAGGTAACTTATATTGTACATAATTAATATGAATTGGTGTTTTTATTATTTATTTTTGTTAAATTATTAATGTCCAAGGGTGTTTATCATTGAAATACAAGCAGAAATTGAATTTTTATTAACGAATGTTTATTCTCCAAAAACCATAGATTTAGCGGAATCTTATTTGAATTCTCTTATTTTAAATTGTCAGCAATACTGAAACTATGAAAAAATAAACTTCAGTTTTTAGAATGCTCCAAATGGTAATTTCTACAATTGACAGATTCATTTAGTTTCAAAACAGGTAATGAAAAATATACTTTCCTGCCGTCTTAAAAATATAGTCCTATCATTTTTTTGTTTGTTGTCCTAAAAGATAACCCTACTTTTTCTTTTGATGCATTATAGTTTAATTGCGTTTAAAATTTGGTTCACTAATAGCCCTTATTAAATTTCATCTTATTTTTAAAATAACATTATGTAATTCCTTCTTAATTTTTCATATAATAAGGTACCTGGGCATGTCCTTATTTAAGATGTTAATAATGAAGAAAGTTATAAATGCCGCATAAGGAGATTTCCTTTAACCATAAAATAACTGATTATTTGTGAATCCTGTACCCTTATTAAATTTTATCTTATTTTTAATAACATTCATTAATTCTTACTTATTATTTCATATAATAAATACTCATGTCTTATTTAAGATGTATATAATAAGAAAGTTATACGCATAAAATTTCCTTTAACCATAATAACTATTATTTTTTAATCTGTATCAAAATAGAAAGTAGACTATTTTTTTGGGACGGATGAAGTATTTTTTTTTTAAAATGAAAGTATTTATGACCATATACTTAAAAATAAAAGATTAGTTACAAATAATTTTTAAAAAATATTTAATTTCATTTATTTGATCTATAAATTGAATCATAGACCCGATCTAAATAAGTATTTTTTGCATAATGTGAAGCGATGAACTTATACAACATCGGTATACCAAACCAAGTAAAAACAATTTTTACTTACATAATTTTGACCATTTATAGAAAAAAACAGTAATAATTTCTTAAAAACCCTACGTTAATTAATAATTGTCATAAGAACTACATTATATTTATGAATTTACTTGCCAATTCTCCGAACAAAGTGGAATTACTGGTTCAGAAGGGACTTCTTGTAAGTTTCTTACATGATAGGGGTGCCAAATCTTTTTGCCAAACTGGGTGCATCATGTTTTATCAGCACCTCAGCATACATACTACAAAATCGAGAGAACAATTTTCTAAAGTTTCGATTCATATTCTATTTTTCAAATGTTTGAAATCCCACCTTCTTTCTTTTTATCTTTTTTTACAATCTCTCCATTTTTCCAATATCTCAGACGGAAAGGGCTTTGATATTAGTTGAATTCTTCTTTTCTGGTGGACTAATTTGTTTTTGTTCATTCAATATTCTTTTCGGGTGTGTTTTAAAGTTTCTCACAATCTTTTGATATGTATGTAAGTTGCTCGATGAAAGGTCCGCATTGAAACTCTCCTAATACAGTTGTGGTAGCTAAGTAGACATCCTGTGTCATAACGCATTGACACCATTTTGAAGAAGATTAATACCAATAAGGATCCTGACCTTGAAATTCTGGAACGAGAAACTCTTGCTTTTATTTTCGATCCCAGCCCAGGGGTCTGCTGTGATGGAGTTGGATAAATTAGAAATTAAGATTTTTTTTATGATCCGAAAAAAAGAAAAACGAATGGAGCGGCTGGTCTTCGTCTCCACATTTAGAACATGAAATAAAGTAGATGCTCTGCAAGTATATGCTGTGGCGTTGTGGGCTGGATGGATAGACATCGGAAACTATGAATCCCACGTCTTGACAAATGAGAACACTGGAGAACACTGGATAGAAAAAAAAAAAAACCGAAATTTCTCGAGTTGGAAAACTCGAGAAATTCCTAAGATGGGACAAAAATTGCAGCTTGTTACATAGAATAAAACGCTGGTCTCCTTCAATGCGATTTCTCCATTAACTGCGAAGAAATTATTATACAAGTTCCTTTGGCGAAGAGAGAATGTCTTCCTGGACATATAAAACTGTGCACAAGAATGGACATTGTAGCTGTGCCCAATTCCATCTCATCAACATCTCAGGTCGTCTCCTGACTTATCAAAGAGCAGTTTTGTCCACATGCTTTCAGGATCTCCATAATGTGCAAGATTAAACTCTGTTAGCTCCATTTCCTTCTTATTTTTAACTTATTTTAACGGAAAAAATTTATTCCAGCATTTCTCCTTGGCCACTATAATGGGCGATATTGTCATCATTTGTGAATGATTTTAATTCTTCTCAGTTGAAGTAATCTATAACTAAATCTGTTATGACTCTTATGGCTAGTTTATCATATGTGTAAAGCATCAACGAAACATCAAGAGACAATGACTGAGTTTTACTGATTCAATTGAACTAGGCAAAGGTCTTGAGAACATTTTGAAAAACTTGCATTCTTGTATCTGACGATGTTGCATCTCCAGATTGCCCAAAACGACTGCCGCCAGTTAAATGAAAAAAGCGTACACCCCTCGGCAGCTCCATTGGCCCCCTTCCACCAGGCAAAAAAGAGAATTAAAAGCAATGAAGAAGCAACAAGGCAGGTATTGAATGAGTTTTCTGAAATGTGAGTGAAGTAATATAGAAGTTAATATAAACAAATAAAAAGAACATGTAGACAGATATGCGCAATTATTATTCAGAACCTCAGTTGGCTTTAAAAAGTGAGAAAATGAAAATTGATAGATGTGCCTTCAACATTATGGGCTATTGGAAACAAAGTTGAAAGAATTCGAAGTAAGAAAGATAGAGTATTCAGTAAACCATGATATGGTGATGCTTCTCGACATTGTTGCTCGAAAATCAGCTTCCATTCTCATCTGGAATGAATTTGTTTAAGCATCGAATAAAAAACCTCCTGAGGTCATGAACTTTCCATATATGCTTACCATAACTTCTTTATAAAAACGTTTGGCTTGGTGGCAAAGCGCATATTAGATAAACATGCATTTTCTAAATAGAACATCATGTCAGACTTTCTCTTGTCAACGCCCTCCCAAAAATTCAGCAACAGTGAAAGAAAAACTCAAGAATTTTAATCCTTACTATCCCAGTGTTTACCAACTACTACTCAGCTGGAGTCAAATTGGATTGGTTCAAGCAAAAATTATCTCTAAATATATTCCAAAATGTTTCTTTGAGACACACATTACAAATAATGACAATTCTGTGCAAATCTGTTAGAAATCTCCAAGCCTGGTCTCTTGCACAACCGGGACAAAATTATGTAACGTCTTCGTGTATATTATTTTACTCTCTGGTTCTCAATGCTTGCATCATAGGGTCTCCTATATATATAATAACTTTCGAAATGGAATAGATGATGAACTTGGTCTAGTGCTGACGCGAAGTGGTACGTCAACTCTGTTTTTCAGAATACTATTTTACTAAGGCATGAACCTCTCTCCTGATAACTTTATTAATTTTCTTCTGTAAGATCATATGCAAAAACCTTGGAACAAGTGAGCAACCGAAACAGATTATTTCATACTTCCATGTGGGCAGCTTATCTCTTGTATGCATCTGTGGTTTTCTACTCATATTCACTGTCATACAATCCGTCTTCCATCCTTCAAACTGATTAGTAGGGTCTACATATTTCAACTTTATTCTCTTTATTCTACTGTTAGGTTCCTTAGTGTCTTGTATAGTTCTTTCACAAAAAATAATTCACAAATAGTCTCTTGGGCTTATTCTCTACGTGATATCGGATTCTTCAAATACACTATCTTGCAGAACATAATCGAAAAAATATCCTACTTTGTATTATAACTGGCCTCCACCAATATTTCAGATTCGTAAAACTGACAAAATTCCTCCACCAATATTTTCAGATTTCTAAAGCTGACAATTCCTTCTGACATACCTATAAAATACTAAGAATTACCCTCTTCATGCATAGCTTGTCAGTGATGAAGATTTGAAGAATCAGAGGCATAGATATAAAACTTAAAAACAAAAAAAAACAAACCAGCCTGACTTGCTTTCCCTAATTTACTCTTGGCGCGAATCTGAACAGACACTAATTTTTATATCTGCTTCAACCCATCAGAATGGGATAATGAATGTACTCCTATGGGGACAAGAAAATAAATGAAGCACTTTATTGCCCTATTAGGATATGAATTGGCTTTCTGTGTCCTCTTCCCAAAATGGTTAAGCTTGAATGTTAAAATAAACAGTATAATATTCATCTCTGAAGCTCAGTAATGGAGCCAGAAGATAATTCCGATTTGCTCCCTTTGCTACGAAAATGATCGGATGATACTCGCTTATTCCGTTGTTCATTACAAAGCTGGCTCCCGCATTAAATTTAGCGTCTGATGATTCTGACTTGCAGCTAAGCTTCAGGCTTGTTCCTGACTTATAATCCACACCGCTAAACACAAAGCAATCCTCTTGGCTTGCTGACTCCATTGATATTGTTCCTTCCTTTCCATCCAATCCAGAAACTAAGCGGAACAAGGATGATCCATCGGTACCATCAGAACTTGCAACTGCAAGGTTGACATCTTTTCCTTGCTGTACTAAAAACATTCCTGATAGACTAAACGGTTCTAGCATGACATATTTTCCAGTAGCATCTTTAACTGATGATGGTTTTGGGGAAGAAGATTCATTCAAGACAACTCTAAAAGTGGCATGAACAGATTTACTACTGCCAGATTCAGGGAACTTTTCCATTGTAATTGATTGATTCGAGTTTGTCAAGACAAAAACTGAATTTCCATATTCTTGGGAAAAAGATACTAGGTGATTATTATAAGTGGCAGGAATTGGAGTTATCCAGTCCGAAAGAGAGTTGACTGATCTAGATCGGATGTCCCAATCACCACTGCTATGACCAGCAAGCAGGTAAGGACCATAAAGTATTGCCTGAATAGAAGCATACTCAGACCGGTCGTCTGAATATTTAATCAAATGTACTTGATTTATCGCATAACAATTTCCGGGGGCCGATACCGAAATCTTTATCAGAAGCGTCGTATATCGGACACTTGGATCTGAGTCACAACCATCTCTGTGGAAGAATCCCGGTAGGCTCGCCGTTTGATCATCTTGAAGCTTCGTCGTTTGCACATAATGATTGTCTGTGCGGGAAGCCGCTTAGAGCTTGTTAGATATGGAAATTTGGTAGTATAATACTATGTTTGTTGTAAAATGAGGGAGAAAGGTGTATGGTTTTTAGGATTTGATTATTTATGTGTTTAGTTACTTTATTATTATGGGATTCAAAAGGTTTCATGCACGTTATTTTGCATGTTTCGAAGCTTTTCATATATCAAAAAGTTTAGTACATACAAATAAGTCCTTCAAAGAGCAAAACTATTACTATGTTGCTAAGGCTATCATCAAATAAGTCCTTCAAAGAGCAAAACTATTACTATGTTGCTAAGGCTATCATCAAATAAGTCCTTCAAAGAGCAAAACTATTACTATGTTGCTAAGGCTATCATCAAATAAGTCCTTCAAAGAGCAAAACTATTACTATGTTGCTAAGGCTATCATCAAATAAGTCCTTCAAAGAGCAAAACTATTACTATGTTGCTAAGGCTATCATCTATTTGTAGCTATTACCGTGTTTGAAGAAAAGGTAAGTGACACTCGAAGATTATGATCCCAGGAAACAACAGGATCAATTTTCTGATTAATCACAATCTGTCCCAATTTCCAATCAAAAGAGCTTGATATATACTGGATGACATAAAGACCAGGTACTTCTCCTTCCTGTTCAAAATATATGGAATCTCCCAGCTTTGAAAATGATTCAATTCCTGAAATTAGGTAGGTATCAAGTGGTTATACATTAGCATAGTGATAGAAATCAAAATTATACCAGTTAGCAGTAATTACCAAAATGGCAAGTCAAATAGCAGTTTAGACTGTGAAAACAACAAAGGAAAAATAACAAAGAAAATCTTCGCAGCAGAATCAAATAAAAATTTACTATGATCTAACATCTCCCAGAAACAAGGGTTGAAAATTCATAATCATTGACACACCTGTCCCATAGCAGCACCAGAAAGAGTCGAACTGTGTTCCCCATCCATGGTAACTCATGGCCTTGGAACTACCAGGACTTTGTGGCAGCATGTAAATCATCACCCCAGGTTCTGTTCCCCTTTGGATGCCTAGCACGCCGTTTGTCAGGGCTCGCTCATAATAATCTGCATATGCCGTTTCTTTGGTCCATCTAAATAGGTGACGAGAGACCTGCACATTCAAATGTGTGATGAGCATAACATGTGCACGAAAATAAAAATTGTAAAGTGAATTGAGATTCATTTATATAAGAATTCCACAGAAAACAAGTACCAAAATCAGCCTTTTGAAAGATCTATACAAATTTCTAGTTCCATGTTGTGCTTGAAAATCTTAACAAGCAAACAAAGAAATGAGAAAGAATATCCTCACCAAGATAACTTTAAAACAATCCAGAGAACCACAAATCCAAAGATATACTACCTTTATCAAGATCCCAAGATAGAAAGAGAGAGATGAGGTTTAGATACCTTGAGCATATTATAAGTTGTGCATGACTCTTCATTCTCCGTTGATAATGTGGTAGCTAAGCGCTTTGGGTTTGACCTGCTCACAGCAAAGGAAAGGGAGAAAAAAAAAAAAGATAGGATGAAGGACCAGCTTGTTCCACGAAATATTAGAAAAAAGAACCCATGCTAATCTTTCAACTGTTTGTAATGAGAAAGAGGTCCTCTATGTATGAACAGAAAATATTAAAATTGTCTATCAAAATTAGCTTAAAAGGCCTGCATCGGTACCAGAACTCGCTGACAGACGTCCCTCCAGTTGCATAGCTGTGAGAAGAGTTAACAGTGTCCATGAAGAATCTCGCCATTTCCTGGTCCATGACATTTATGTTGAAAGGGGAGGAACTTAGGTTTAAACATTCAGTGAGAAACATAATGCCATTGACTAATTAACTATCATACTATCAATGCAGAATTTAAATGGCAAGTTTCAATATCTCAGAAATTTAACAAGAAGAGCTATTGTTATATGGTATAATAGCAATGCAGCAAAAATAAGAACATTTGCTTTTTAGATGATCCATGATTGGCATTAGACAATATAATCCCACCGTCCATTAAAATTTTTGCAATTTTAATTTTTTTTTTTTTTTTATCCCACTTTATTTGTCATTTCAGAAAATTGAGGATACATTAATTATTTTTTTCCAACTTTACCCCTATCTGTTAATATCTCCACTAAGCAATATTAGACAATCGAAAAGGTTAATATAGTCAATTATAAATATTATTTTATAGAATTGAGGTTGTTTGATTTTCTTAATCCTTGTAACACTCTTAAACATTAATCCCTGCACTTTTAATGGGACGGAGAGAGTACCTTATAAAGTTTATCACCGGTGACTTCATATCGCATTTGAGATCCAATAACAATAGGGATATGTGTATTGGCATGGAAACCAGCTATGTCATCAGCCTGAAAGCAAAAGAAGGAACTTCAATGAAGATAACATCAAGCATAGATCAAAATTCTCACTTATTATCATCTACTAAACAATTATGTTTCTCTTTTACATTCCTAAAGCCTACAGAAGAAAATGTTACTAGCAGTTTCTTGTCTATGAAACGTCAAATGAATTATATTAATCATCAAAACAGGGTATTCAGTAGAAGAAAATGCTACTAGCATTTCAGTGTCTTTTCATTTCATGGGTGAGAACCCTTGACACGTTCAAACGCAACCAGTAGTGTATAACTTTCAAAAGCTAAAAAGAGCATGACAGCACTTAGTTCTAAAATTGCCTGCAGCTATGAGCATCAACAACACCATTAGACCACAGGACAATTCATTGCCATTTTTACTTCTCAACTATGCCAGCTTACCTAAAGTTGCGACAAAAAAAAAATCTATCAGATAACAAAATTATTGCTTTATGGATAAAATTCCATGACACACTAGACTATGGTCAAACTTACTTGTGGATGGAGAATGGAAGGAAGCCCTAATAATGCCTTTAGTGTAGAGAAGAGAACTTTTTTTTGTTTAAATAAAAAAAAAATTACTTTCATCTGATTGTTCTCAGCAAAGGGAGAAAACTAAAATCGTTTAGGCACAAGCCAAAAACTGATTAGGAGCAAAACATAATAGTAGTTACCTGTACTGCGAGTAACCCAAGGAAGCATGGTTTATCAAAAAGGTGAGCTAGTATTAAATGCTTTTGATCTCCCTGCATATAGTGACATAAGAGTCTCAAGTTAGATACTGGAGATTATGAAACAAGCTTGTTTTGCATAGAACAACAACTATCATATGTCTCAATCTTGCCACAGATATGGAAAAGCCCATCTTCCATGGGCAATCTAAATTCAGTTATGCTAGATGCTTTATGAAAGGATCTTTTGGAACATTATACTAAAGCAAAGTTCCAAACGACTTAACGAAGGATTTTTGGAACAAAACTAAGACACAACACAAAGCATGTTCATGAGCTGCAGAATTCGAAGAGGAGTCAAAACAACAACTTAGATTAGATTACTTACTGTTATGCTAAATAACTTGTAAAGGACATCATTCATACCCCCAGTTTCTTCATTGAGTGACAGAAAATGTCTTTCAATGCTGTGTTCGGTCACAACATTCTGCACACGGTTGTAAAAGTAATCAACCATCCATTTTACCATGTCCAAAGCTTGAATATTATCTGCAATTGTATACTGTTCCAAGAGACCTGCCAAGATCTGTTCAAACCAGAAAGACAAAGGTTAATTATATAACTTCTAAAAACAACAATGAATGTCTTACAAAGCAATTAAGAGTAGAACTTTACCTTATGAATAGTATAATATGGAGCCCAGACAGGTTTTATAGCTTCAAAACGATCAAACTGCTCAGATGGAAAAGCAGAAAGGTAACCAGTGCCTAATTTCTGCTGACAGGCAAATAGAGCAGATACTACTGCTGACATTTTCTCTTTGATAGTATCATTATGAGTACTAGCCCACATATATGCTGATGCACTCAAGTAGTGACCTTCAAAACGATGAAATCAATTTATTCATTCTGAGGCATGTCAAAATCTTATGAAAAGAAAAAATTATAGGGGACAGAACCGCTAAAGAAAATACGGTCAAAATTGCAAAAAGAAAACTCTGAAAATTGAAAGGAAATCAATGTTACTATAATATGATATTAAAACTCAGTGAATACCATTTTGCAGCCTAAACAAAAACATATTAGATACAAAAGGCCACCTGATCATAGTCTATATACCACACTGGATCAAATACATATTAATCAGTACAAACTCATACTGCATAAATCTAAACTGTTTTTCTCTGCAAATTCACCATAGGAAGAGGCAAATGAGAAAAATCAGAAAATCCAAACAGTGAAATGTTTGCCTGTAAGCAAAACAACAAATAAATCAGAGAGAGAACAGATATTCTAGAAGGCAGAACGGCCTAAAAAAAGGAGGTTAAATGATCATTTTACCAAAAAGAAAAAGTGAAGAACAGATAATTTTTTTTCAAAAAAAAAAAATGGTAAGAATAGTTTGATGATTTGATCATTCGCTTTTGAAAAGAGTAGTTTAAGGGCCCTGCTTTAAATTAATCTAATCAGTTTTTTTTAAGAAATCTACCAGAATCTACCACTTTGTATGTACGATGAAAGAAAGGCAATGCATATAATTCCAAACAGAACGTAATAATCATACTAACAGAAAGTTTAAATCCATCAATGTCAGCAAAAAACAAATATGAAACTAACCTACAAAGTGACCTCGAAGCTCACAGTCCGCAGCCTCCCAGCCGCCATATGGTTTGCTAGGCGTAGCTAAACCAGCAGTCTTCCTAAAACTCCAGACCAGCCTATCCACGTCCAACATCAACAAGTACTCTAAATTTGTTTGTTGGGCTCGCCAATGGATGGAACTCGAATCCAATCTCACATTATGCAAAGACACTTCCTTGAGAAAACTTCCAGATGATATAAGAGGATTTTTCATTTTTCTATACATCACTGACCAACCATATTCATCTTCTTCTTTCAATATCTTCCTTGGCAGCAAATTAGACCAAGCTGAATCATCAGTTGGTATTAAATGGTAGTTTGCAAACATTTCTTCCTTCCATGATTCATTATGTGATGATAAGAGCTCATACCTTAATGTATGAGATGAAAGCTGAGTAGGAATGTTTGTACACTCTTTACTCGTACCAAAACCACACAGCAAAAATAGAAAAACTAAAACTAAGAGAGCAAATACCCTCATTTTTTCAGCGAATTTAAGTCAATGAAGATCAAAAAGAAAAAAGGCAAGATCTTTTGAAGCTCAAACTATTCCAGTATGGATCCCTGACTAAAAAGTAGACCAAATTAGAGTAAAGTCAGGGCAGACGACCAGAATAGCACTAACATTCGCTTTTGAAGTAAAAACCAGTAAGCAGTGACCTTGATCGAAAAGAAACAGAGATTAAGAACATCAAACTCAACTTTTTTAAAAAAAAAAGAAATTCAACTGGTTATTATTTTCATAACCAAGAGTAAAAAATCTCTAAAATTCTTTGAAGCAAATGAGAACCAGATTGAAAATACAACCAAAAAACGCTCAATTCAAAGCAAATAAGAATCACAGGCAAAAAGTCTCGGACGTGAAGCCCCTATATATCAACACAAGACAGGAGAAAGAATGGGTTGAAAAGAAAAGATAAAAGCAAAAAAAATACTAAAAAGCAATTCTCATCTCGTGAAAGGCAAGAATTTGGTTTGTTATATATAGAAAGAACCGAAACCACAGAATGGATATGGATATATACAGATATTAACAGAGAGAGCCGATGAACAAGGTATGTAAAAGACAGAGGAGAATCACGGATACGGTGTCGTTTTCTTGGGGTTTGGTTTGAGTTTGACTGTGAGACGGTGAGAGGGAAACTCTGCTTTTTTTACTTTGAAGTGCGAGGCACGGGAACATGATCAAGTGAAGAAGATTCTGCATCTAGCAACGGGCAAAATTCGGCAAATTCCTATTGTCCTACCTTTTGCTTGTAATCATGTGATTATGATTATATTAATTTTTCTTTTTCTTTTTAATGTAATGATTATATTAAGGTTAAACTATTTTTATTTCCAAAATTAGTTGTATGTCCACTTTTATTTATTATTTAAAATTAATTATTCTAGTATATGTGATAATAAGGTATTCAAAGTTTTTTAAATTTTAACTTTTTCGAATTTATTTTCTAAATAATTGATTTTACTATTTGATGTGATTTAAAAAGATCTTATTTTAGGATTGAGATAAAGAAAATAAAAAAATAGCATTTGAATTGAGAATAATAATTTATGTGTATGTATGAAAATAAAAAAACTAACTTTTATAGAAGTCTTCAATAATTTATGAGTGGCTCAACTCATAATAATAAAATAGCATTCAGTTCATGTGATTTTCTTTTAAATAAAGAATATTCATTCATTCCGCAAGATGAGGAAATATAATCATGAGAAAGCCAGCAATCCATGTGTGATGTGAGGTTTAAGCTTTCTATTTATGGATTTTTCAGCTTTGGATTGTATTTTATATATTTAATTTTTAAATGTCATATTATTATATGGTGAAAAAACAATCATTAAAATTAAAATATCAAATTAGTGACAAGTACACTAATAATTTGAACATGCACAGTTGAACTTTTTTTTAATAAAATTTTTATAATAATTACTGTTAAAAAACATAAATAACTATTAAAAATATAATTATTTTTGTATTATGAGAAGAAAGATTAAATAAATAGAATCATTGAAATACCAATATGGCAACTAATTTAATTATAAGATTACTAATATCATTAATTATTAAAAAAAAAAAAATATCATATTTAACTTGTGCTAAAACAATTAAATGGACCGATGAAACCAGTTCAGCTACCTTTCTTATCAACACAGAGTGTAACAATCTGATATTAATTCCAACCGTCAATTAGAATATGCATTGGAGAATAATATCTGAAGGAATGGTCACGATGGTGGTGTCTTCTTGAGGTGGGGCAGTTTCATTAATTTCTTTTTTGAAAAAAAAGCAATAATTTCTATTTTATAATTATCCATTCTGAACTTACTTTTGCAGTTGCATGCCATACCAGGTTAAAGAACAAGTTGCGATGCCACCGATTGTCTCATCTCACGATGCAACTTGTTCTTAGGTTATCTCAATTCTCACATGAAAAAACTTCTTCATAAGTCTCTTATAACAGTGCGAAATTAACTTCTGAAAGATTAGATAATAATTAACTTCTGAAAGATTAGGTTTGTTAGGTTTTCTGTTGTTTTCATGTGTCTGAACAAGTAAAGTGGACCTAAATTGAAGTAGGTATAAAGAAAGGTTGCGGCCAAATGGCTGTAAGTTATGGGTTTGAGCAAGCACAATCATCACCAGTTAAAAATGGATATTCATCAATTTCCCTTCAAAGAAAAGGCGAGAAAGAAAGATTGATTTTTGAAACAAAAATACTTTCTTTTCCTTCTTCTCTTTTCTGCAACTTTCATCTCTCCACCTTTGTCTCTATGCGTGCTCAGATAGCGACAAATTTTAATCTGGATACTTCTTTTGTAAAGTGGGGTATGATTGAAAAGAAATATTAATTTAGGGTAGATTTTGAGTATCGGTGGAAAAGGACAGGTTTGTTGAGGAGGTGATGCTTAAGTCAAGCAAGAATCTAATAAAAATAGAAAGAGAGTCTCACGAGTGGGGTCTTGTAAAATGTATAAATTTAGTTTTCACCCCACTCAAGAAGAAAACAATCACTTTTGTCCTTGCTTCCTCATTTTTACTTTTTATTAAAAAGAAGGAAAATAACCCTTAGTGTAAAAAAATAAAAATAAAAATAAAAATAAATTATGCACGTTTATTTAGGATATAAGCAATTCTATAAATGCTTGCTTTGCTTGTACAGCAAACTACTCAATTTGCATAAAAATTTACTTCAATACAAATGTGACAAAGAATATTAACGTATTAATTACAATTGAGAAATCTTTTTATGTCCTGCTTTATGATTAAGTTATTTGTCATTTTCATTAAATATCGAATTTTGAATAAGTGATAATCTAATATATAAAAGCATTTCTAAAAATAAAATATCAATATTATATGAGTCTATATTTTTCATATAATTTCAGTAAATAAAAAGAAAATTTAAAAGGAAGAAAAAAACTAAAAATTAACCATAAATAAGTATAATGCAATTTGACAACTATAATCCCAAATCATAATTAATCTCATGCTTCTCATTTTAGAACATGTGCTGTAGCCCCTAATTAGTACATTTATGTGTCCATATTTAAGGCAAATCGTGCAACAAGAGTAAATGACCAGCTTAATTATGTTGGGGTGCATTTGGGTAATTTTCTTTTTTTTTAATCAATTGGCTTAATTTACTTAATTTAACAACTAGAACAAAATCCTTAATTGGCTTTGTCAGGCAAATCAAATCAAATCAAAAGTGAAGTGTGGTGTAATGTAAGTTCAAAATATATCTTTGTCTGAGAATTATATTACTAAGAATAGGTTTCAATGTTTGTTTTTTATAGCACGTGCGGTAAAATGGTTAAAAAGATTTTTGATATGTATGGTTTGATTTTGATCTCCATAGATACAAATGGAGACTATTTTTGAATCTGGTTATATTTTCATGGAGCCAAAAAAGTAAATCCAAAACTGAATATTACTCAATTGGGCTTAGGCCCATTTACGTACACTGGGCTGCGAGTTTTCAGATTCATAGAAAAGACTTCAATACTGCAGCGGGCAATTTGTCCATTCCATTTATTATTTTTTGAAATTTCTGTCCATCGAGGGACAACTTCAATTTCTCCTTCCCTTTTTACATATTTTTTATTTAAATGGCCTAAGAACAAACAAGTGATATGAAGATCTAAGGCCTTACCACTCTAATTATCACTAAATCATTTATCATGTAAGATTATAAAAATCAAATACCGAAATAATACTTTATGTAATGCATACAAATTAGCCTTCAACGGAATGGAATAAAAATGATCATTTTTACATGCCCTATCGACCATTCATTACAATTTAGCTCCAAACAAAGTAAATAAAACTCGATCCATTTAAAACACACTAAATGTCAATGCTAAAAAAAATCTAACATAATATATTTTTATTTAATATATATATAATCCAACTCGCTTGAATGTGAAACAAGTGAAGAGATGAACATATATTTAATTTTAAGGGATAAATATGGGTATTTTCAAGGTTCCCTACGATCGTCTTTAAGGAAGAAGTATTTTTACTTTTTTTTTTTTTTTGTTTGACTTTTAACAATGATAAATCAAGGATAACAGAAGGAAATTAGAGAGCAAAAAAAAAAATAAAGAAAAACAAAAAAAAAAAAAAAAAAAAAAATTAGAGAGGTCACTGAGCCCAAAAAAGGGCTCGATTCTTTAGAATTTAAGGCTCCTTGGGCCCTAATTTTGACCCAGGATAGAAATCAATACTAAACAAGTAAAATTGGGCCAATCTTAGCCCATCTTTTCTTTTTTCTTGCGATGAGCCAACCGTAACTTCTGTGAGATAGACAGAGAGAGAAAAAAAACCAATAGACAGAGTCTTCCCTTAAGGAAATTCACACAGTTACAAATATTAAAATTTTTTGATTTTTCCCTTCGGTTTTCTTTCTAGTAATTAATAGAATTTCCAAAAGAAGTGGAATTAATGAAGACAGACAACAATTAAAATCCGTGTTTTAGGACTCTGTGATGTAATAAGTAAGAAGACAAATAGTTAACGCATACAACGTAAATTTATAAAGACAATAAAAAATAACAAAATTGCCCATACCTCTAATTTACATAGTAATATTTCTTCTTTTATTAAAACAATAGTTTACATTATTAATTTTGGAATATCTCATATTAATTGTCTACTTTCTTATGTTAATTATAAGTCAACAAGTAAAAATATGGTCAACTACTTAACTACTTTTGGTTAAAGATTAAAATACTTAAAGAAATCAATTTTCCAAATCTAGTGTCAAAGTGAAAATGAACTACATTATTATGAGATGGTGAAAACATGACATTGAACAGGTGCAGCCATAGGTAAAAACTACTCTAGTTAGGTGAAAATAATTACAAATAAGCTTAGACTGGTCCTCTCTTTGCTTTTAGGAAAGCCATGCATCAAGTGTTTGAAAGAGGTTTAAACATTAAAAAAAAAAAAAAAAAAAAAAAAAAAAAAGACGAAGATGCAAATTATAGGTTTGCATAAAACAAACATATATACAGTAGTAATATATAGGTACAACCCTTCCTTGTTGTTGAAGAAGGGAATGCAAAAGGGCCACCCACATGCTTATCTTTCTCTATCCTATCCAAATAGGCAGACAAAGTTATAGGTTTTGGAGGGGGAAAACTATTCATTAAATTGAAAAATGACAAGATCGATCTGTTGAGAACACTTGGACTCTATACACATATATTAAATGACAAATAGTTATTTTGGTTTCTAGTAGTAAATGTGGACCAATGAGAAAAAAATTCTAACTTGTAGCCTCAAATTGGCCGACAAATCGAATAATGTTAGCCCATCTTCTGCCTGCCACCAAACCAGTTTCACTTCTCAGTAATTAATCAATCTCACCCACCAGAACCAGATGGGTATATATTAAGAGAGGAGCTTGTTTGGAGTAAGTACTTGCAGAGGGGTTGATTGCAATTGTGGCAATGGAGTTTGAAGTGTGTCTCATTTATTTTCAGGTGGTAGTGTCTAAATAGAGGCAGACCTCATGGCCCTACTCTTCATTTTCGCTTTCTTTTTGCACAAAATTGCAATAATCATTGAACAAGCCTCATGTATTGTTATTGTATATGGGAAATTATTGGAGTTTTTAACTGTAAAATTAATGATTAGTATGAAGATAGCCTCTGAAGAAAAGGAGGAGGAGGAAGAGAAGAAGAATTATAGCTTTCGTTCTATTTAATGCTTTTCCAAGTCTCATGATTTAATCATACGAGAGAACTTATTTGTGTGATTGTTATGAAATTTGATTTACTTTAAGCTAAAATTATCACACTTTTAATAAAAATATATACTATTATTTTTAAATAAATTTTACTACCTTACAGAATTAATAATTTATGTATAAATACAAAAGTTATATCAAGGATAGAAATTGAATATTTAAATCCAATGGATGTAAATTTTTATATTTAAAGCATAAGTTGGTCATATAAGGGAGCATAACACATGGAGTGCGGATCAAAATTAATGAAAAATAGCCACGTACTATAAGAATAATGACGTCATATCCAACTCTTGTGACGTTTATGACTTCAATATTACAAAATAATTGTTTAGACATTTTTTTAAGAATAAATGAAATAAATTGCCCTAAAAACGTGGGGTACAGTCTATTTTACAAAAGTTAAGAAAAGTAAGTTCCTTTTAACATACTTTGCTGTAAAAGATGAGTCAGCAGCCTACAAAGGCAGCTAGCTTTTTTCACACGGGTGGCCCCTGTATTATGATAAAATTATATCAATCTCCCTTATTTCGTCTCTGAATTTCATCCATCTCCTTTTATAACTCAAATCCTCTTTATTTTTATTTCTTAATTATTCAAAATATAAAATTACCTAAAAAAAAGTAATTAAAAAGGAAAAAACAGTTAAACAGAGAGATTGGCATTGAGCTCAAGAACAGCATAGCTTGTGAAGATGAAAGATTGAAACTTGGAGTGTTGAAGGGGAAAAAAGAAAAGAAAAGAAAATGATGGAAGGGAATTGGAGGGAAAGCTGTAATTATGATTATGGGAAGCAAAGATGGGAATAAGGGATTAAACCACCAGCAAAGCCCGTAAATTAAGAAAATTTTGTCTGGTAATCATATGAAGCCTAACCTTTTTCATGTTGAAAATTTTAAACTATTCAGAAGCTTATAACCTTTCTTAAAAAGAGGTCGCCTACCAACAAGCACCGCCTTCCTTTTTCACTAGTTGTTAACAAAGAATTTTAAGATCCCTCACCCACACAACAAAGATATATATATATATATTTGGGACCAACAAATTATCTAATTTCTTTAATTTATCAAACAGAAAGTTTAATCTTTAATTTAATTGTATAGGGAACTTATATAACTGCCAAGAATTTAAAAATTTTGATAAAAAAAAAAATTATGAGTCTTGATAAGATTACCAGCAGAGTTAGCAAACCACTCTGCACTAAATCTGATTTCTCCTCTTTTAGGTCATCTTTAGTGATAGTTTTCACGGAACCTTTTAATATTTTAATTTAATCAAAATATTAATTTAATTATTCATAAATAGTTACTAAAGCAATTAAATTTGTGCATAACATCCTTAATATTTTGCAGAAAATTTTAAGAAAAATATATCAGTCAACAATAATAAGGAGAAAAAAAAAATCATTGAAGCGGTAGAATAATGGAGGAAGGCGAACACGAGTGATTAAACATCTGATCTTGAGCACGTGACATGGGAGAATATCTTTAACTTTAACTGAGAATTCCGGCCACTTTTCGCGGAATAAATAGTATTATATAATTATTTCATGTCATCTTTCGGTAAGTTAATGATGCGAATTCAAAATTTTTAACGAGAGGCGAAGCACAAAATCTTTGTCCAAAAGAAATCCATCGTCGCCCATTTCTTGTAATTCACATTTGCAAGCCAATAATAGGAGGCTTCGTAATCAATTAAAAAAAATTAATATCGCAAAATAGAATCTAATCTATTTATAGCTTTTATAATAACCATTACTACTAATAATCTCTTCCCACTAAAGCCCTTTTCACGTTCTACCCATTATTTATTATGTACACAAATACAGTATAATGTGTATTTAAAAAAGAATTATACTAACTAACTCTTACACGTGCCTAACTGTAACACGTGCGGTTAGAACTCCGTTAATGACATCTTTCTGTAGCAGTCTGAAGACGGCGACGGTAATGGCGATGGAGGAAGAGACGTCGGCGCTCTTAAATTCTGGAAGTACTCCCTAATATCCATTCCCCCTGCAGCTACTGTTTCCGTTAGGTTAGTGTCGTCTCTAGCCGGAATGTACGGTGGCCGTAATACTTCTGTTAGTAGGTCCCACTTGACCCCTTTGAAGAATGCGTGCTCCTTGATCTCGCACGCGCCTCGTTGATAGCCCAGCCTCTTCGTTGGATCCTTCTCTAGTAGCCGTTCGATTAAGTCCGTCAACTCGTTTCTTTTGCCTATGAATTCCGGCTGCTTTGATAAAATGTTTCGAAACGTTTCCTTCCGGTTCTTCGCTTTAAACGGTGTCGTCCCATACAGCATCTCGTAAGTAAGAACCCCCAACGCCCACCAATCAACGGAGAATTCGTGTCCATCTCCTCGTACAACCTCCGGGGACACGTATTCTTCGGTACCCACGAACGAGTTGGACCTTTCTCCGTTATTGAAACTGAGTTTCCGGCGACTCACAGGGCTAACTCGGGCTGATTTGGCTTTTTTCAAGCCTGTTTTATCGTTGTTGGGAAGCAGAGGGAGCCACCGGGTTATATTTCTTCGGTGGAATCGGTTATGGCTGTGATGGTGTTTCTTTTGAGACTGAAGAGACAGACAGAGAGATTGACCGCTCCCTGGTTGATCAAAATGGCAGTGATCGGCAGAAGACAATATTGTTTTAACGGTTCTTTTTGTTAAGGTACGTGAAAGGTCGAAGTCCGTGAGAGTAACGTGACCAGATTGTTGTACGAGAATGTTTTCAGGCTTCAAGTCCCGGTACACGATTCCCATCTCGTGTAGATGTTCTATAGCGCAAACTATCTCGGCCAAATAAAATCGAACCACGGCCGGAGAGAAAACACGGTCATTCTGACGATAGCGTAGCACATTGAGATCACCACCGGAGCAGAAAGGGACAGCCCAAGCGATGAATTCTGGAGTTTCCAAGGACGATATGAGATGAGGGAGAAAAGGGTGGCTATTCCGGCCGGAGAGTTTAGAGAGGACTTGGATCTCCCACCGGGCACGGCGTTCGGCGTCGAATTTTGTATGGAGAGTGGATTTCTCTACGACTTTAAGGGCGTAAGGACTTCGGGCGGAAGGGTCGGCTGTCCTGTCATGAACTAGAAAAACCGTGCCCATAGCTCCTTTTCCTAAGACTTTGATAGCTCGAAGGTTGTCAAAGTCTAACTCCATTGATGATGATAGTGGACGGTACGGTGGCCGGGGCGGTGTCGATGTGTCCATTTTTGAGAGAGAAGATGAGAGGGAGAGGATTTTGAGAGAGAGAGAGTGGGGGTTTGGAGAGAGAGCGAGTTGCATTTTGGCATTTATATAGTAAAGGGCATGTAAATCTGTTTTTCGGTTTTTTTGTCATTTTCAGTTTTTTTATATCAATTTGTCAATTTTCAGTTTAGAGGATTTTTTTTTTTGATCTAAGGCATATATATATTTCTTTTGTTCATTATTAGTGATGATATTTGTATAATCCAAAGTAGAAACTGAAAGCAAATATAATATGATTGAGTGCTTCCTCACGTGTATGGCATAATGTTCATATGAGCTTACACGTTTTTCTCTTAATTATTTTCAGTAACCCCTCTCATAATTTTATGCCAAATCATGTTTGTTTCATGCAGGCTCTACTTTCTAATTAACTCCTTTTCATTTTATAATTTTGTTCATTAAGAAAAATCTTAAGTTAATTTTACGTGTTCATGAGTCGAAATAATAATAATAATAATATTATTAAATATATGAAATCATATTAATTGGGTGAGATGGGTTCTAATCATACATTTAGCTAGTATTTAGCTAGTTTTCTTAGCCTAAAAGGCCTTCTAAGCTAGTATTAATCAATTACTCCCTGCACTTAGGTAGGCGATGTGCCATATATAGTTTTTTTTTTTTTTTTAATATAAAAAAAGGTCTAATATTTAACCTTATTGTAGACTCAATGTCAATCTTGATCAACATAACTATTAGGAATAAACTTGGGTTGGTATCTATTCTTGTCAAATTCTCTTAAAGCAATAAGTGGAGTATAGCTTATTGTCGTATTAGCATCATTCTATAGCTGAGGGTTAAATTCTTTTATTTTTCTTTTAATAATTATAAAAATGATAAGTCGGTAATATTTGATTGATAATTATAAGACTATCTGATCAATACCATCCATTTCTGTTTAACGGTCTGATAAAAAATTAATCTCTTTCACACTAAGAGCATTTGTGTAATAAGAATTATATATAATTGTATTTTGATACATATATTAAAGAAAAAAGACATTTGGTTATGGTTGGTGAATATTGTTGAAACAACTGAAGCTAATTTCGAAGGTAGATATGAATGAAAAAGATAGAGATAGATGGGCTTTAAAATTTGGCATCTCCTAGCATATAGAAGTAATACTTTGGAAAAGGATCCACGTACCTACAACCCCATATATTCCAACTTTAGGTTACACAAAATCTTTTTCACTGTTTTCTTTCTTTGGGGTTATGCGTTTGGAGCTATGTTGGAAACATAATAACCCCACCAACACTATTTTTTAAAACTTTTTTTGAAGTTTCATAAAATGTGTTCCTGTCTGCCATCATTTGGTGGGAGAAAATGTAAGCTTCCACCTAAGCTCAAAGATAAAAAAAAATTTTTAAAACTACTAATTATATTCCTCCACCCATGTCAAAGTTAGGAACAAATGTACTTTAAAGGAAAAAAAAGGTTTGTATGCTTTGATGATGCCCTTGTCGGCCATGATTTCACCATCACAAAACAAATATTTTATCATTTCAAAATGGTTTTTGATCAATCAAAGGGAAAGGGAAACAACTATGTATAAGTTAATAATCTCTTTTTCTTGTTAATTAATTAATCAATATCTATACTTATATAAATTAATTAGGTCTTAAAGTAATTGTTATTATTAGTTTAAGACCTAATGATAATAATATTCATAAATAATTATATATCCATTTTTATTATTTTACCATATATGTGATGATCATAAGGCAATATAGATGAAAATGGATGAAGCACTGCCGAGAAAAAATTATACAAGTACACAAACATTGCATATCAATACTCCCATCATAAGAAAATTTATTATTGTATAATAACTTGTTTGGATTATTTGGAGTCTCCTTCAATAATGCTTAAAGTGGACACCAAGCATTTTAAATTACTTTTATATATTCTGCTCATATCAAGCATTTATAAAATACTATTTAATGAAGTATCTTACTCATATAATGTAAATTATATATAATATATATTAAATATTATATTAATATATATATAATTAATGTAAGTTAATTGCTACAAGGACCCACTAACTAAAAACATATATTACAGTAATTATTTTAAATTATGTTTTTTATTATCATTATTTACATTTGAACTTGTCTTCTTCTTCTTCTTCTTCTTTCTTTTTTCTTTTTTTCCTATTTTTCTCTTTTTACCGCCCTTTGATTTGGGTCCTGAAGAGTGGGTCCGTGGATTCTTGATTGATCTCTCAATATATATTTACAGTTCTTTTTGTTTTTTTTTTTGGGTCCAATTTCATAGTCATAATTGAGGTTTCTTCAAAGTCGTGGGCATATATATTTTTTGCATGTTGGGTAATGGCTGTCTCCACTATATAATCTCTGCAATTTCATGATGGAAGCCAACATATATCTATAATATGTTTTACATCTTTTTCTTTTTGTTTCCATTTATCTCTTTTCTTGCTCAGTGTATTTAATAATTAAAAATCATATGATCGTGGAGTACTGGACATTGATGACACGAAGGAATTCAAGTATATGATCATTGCAAACGATTACACACAGATTGCCAATTGTTCTCAGAATTATGATCGAGTTGTTTTGTATATTGCTATGATCATATTCTGCAAAACCTTGCTTTTTCTAGTAATTTCCATCGCGTTAAATGATGGAAGTAGTTTAATTATTATGTTTTGGTTGTTACAGGTTTGGCTGTTTCTTTTAGTTAAATCCTTAATTACTTTTCTAATTAATTCAAGATTACTAATACTAGCCCATTGGATAATTTTTCTGGAAACCCAACGGGCCTTAACATCCAGCCCATATGCTGGCTACAATAGCCCTTGTCATAAGCCCAAAACTATGCTCCTACTTTATTGGGAACGAGTATGTAAAGACAGGATTAGAGAATTAGAGAGATGCTAATGGTGCTAAAAGGGAAATGGAGACAAAATTAGAGAGATACAACAATTTAGTAAAGTAGATCGAAAACAGATTATTCATATACCTGACTCCAATTAGTTTGATCAGATTAGGATTTAATTATTATCGTGATTGAATGGTAAGTTTTGATATCGAAAAAAAAAAAAAAAAACAAAAATCTAAATTTCGTTAATTATACGGAGTCAAGTTTCTAAATCCTAACGGTTGTGGATTTTCAATTTTCGAGAAGTTTAGCAATTGGAAGCGTTTTGGGTATAAAATGATAAAGGTAAGTCAGTTGTTTAATTTATAGCATCTCGATACCATAAATAAAATCCTTCAAGCTCAGATCCGAACGTTGATATTAAGATGGCAAAAATCCCATTGAATCAATCAATATAGATAGTTGATTTTTTTTTTTTTTTTTTTAGACTTCCGCACACCTCAGGGTTTGAATTTATGTTTTTTATTTATATAAAATTAATTAGTAAATAACCGTGATGCGCACTCACTAATTATAATAAATAAATTATTTAAACTTAATTAATTTTTTTACTTTGTCAGGCCGCGTACTTAAATGATGTGAGTCGAGCAATAACACAGAGCATAAATGCCATGCGGACATCGGCCGCCTTATCCACCCTATGGTCCCCTGATTAAGCTAAACTTAGGGAATAATTAATTAACTAACCCGTCCGGCGGCCCTACGTAGCACATAAACATGGAGCTTGTCTCGGTCATAAACTAAATCGTGTCGGTTCCCAACAATTTGTAAAAAGGTTCACCAGCGCTGGCTTTTCGTGACTGAGATTGTCCGAAAGTTTACTAGATATGTATCGATGTTGCTCCTAGTATAAAAAATTTTAAGGCCACTTTACCTTGGGTCCTCTCACAACCTAGAATTGTATCAATCCCACTTGGATTTGGAACTAGTATTTGACACGAATGTATTCATTGGAGACCTTGACGGCGCACCGAATCTCTCCCTCCGACTTCTCCACTGTCAATCGCTCAAAACTTCCTCTATTGGCGTTCATTATTCTTTCATTATACCCAGGAAAAAGCCTTATTGAAAAGAACTTTCCAAATTAAATATTATATCAAATTTTCTAATAATATGAATTATAGTTATGGCAGATTTTTTCCTCAATATGATGATGGCACATAATCTATATTTTTCAGTAGAAACATAAAACATATATCCTTCGCTTTGCTCTTTTTGCTCTCCATAACCAAATATAAAAAAATCCCTAAAAAGATAAAGATCTTAAAAAATTATAAAATCTATATATGACTATTGATCTCTCGTCTACAGAGAGGAATACAGTCTAGCATATATAAGATCTGCCGGACTTATTGGCCAAGACTAGTTAGGAGTCGTTGTTTCTCCTATTCGAGAATCACAAATATCAGAAGCAGATGCTACTTAGACAAAATTAAAACATTCAGTTAAAGGTCTATCGATCATCATTATAGGTTTTCTTGTTTAAGATTCTTAAAATAAGGAGTTCAAGAAACACGCTTGGAAAGTGCAAAAACTCAGATAGGCACCTATCCAAGAATAAATTGATCAATCACAGTGTACGTAAACTATCTTCTATTGTTAAAAATTCATTCTATCAGCCATAACAGAACATCGAACTTAGACCAGTCCAAAATGATGACGAGGATATGTCAACATTATTATAGTCAAAAAAATACATCTATGAAATTTTTTGGAGTATCCTAAACGATTAGAATAATTCTAGATCTTTTGCACATAATTTATAGATAAAGCACAGAAAATTAATGGACATATATATTTAAAGTAATCTTGCAATTTTTTAATTTTCGTGATATTTGTCAAATATCTAATACTTTGATTTATGTCCGTCTTTTTGTCGGTATGTTTAAGATGGTAGGCGTTAAATTCTGGCGCTCGGCAACTAATATTAGTTAATGCTAAAAGAATCTTAGTTTTAATATTAAAACTATGCGTTACAAATGTAATATCAACTCCGCGTACAACCTTACAACCACAACTCCTAAAAGGGTGGTGTTGTAGAATGAGCAACGAAAGGTTCTTCCCAAAAAATAAAACCAAAAATATCTGTGGGCCCCCATAATATCCACATTTAATAAGCAAGCTTTTTT